ACTTGAAGTACGTGTTCGTGGGAAGTTGAACTTGTAGTACACGTTCGTGGGAAATTGAACTTGTAGTACATTTGCACACATGAAATTTTCAATACGAAACACTTAACGATAGAAATAATGAACGAGGAAAAGTTACCGCATATTGTCCTTGTCGATTACAAAACAATTCTTTATCTGACTTGACCCAGTTCTACTCCGAGGTACATGAAATTTCTTTTTATCACACTTTTTATCCATGTTTTGTTTTCTTGTTCTTACGGTGTTGACGGAGTGTTAGCCAATAACTAGGTTGTTGTCAGATATATTACTCCATAAATCGGAGATATAACGCCCTCGTTCCATCCGATATTATTTCACATTATCAGAAACCGTAGGCAATAAATATACAGCAGTCAGAATTGTTCTTAATAATAAAATCTTGACTAAAAGCCGCCCCCCCCAATATGAAATCTGAGATCTGAGATATTCAACACTTTGTCAAAGCGTCTACAAGTCACAACCATATTTGGATCTGCCAATATCCCATATAGTTAATTTGGCGAATGGTCATTGGAAACGGCTGTAGAAAAATGGCGGGATTTGTGACGTCACAGTTGTTTACATACACACAGCACCAATATTGGTGGGAGGTAGCAATCCTGAAGTAGGTTATAAATATAATGTGGATATGATGATACCTTTGTTTGAGTAAACCATATAGAGTATATGATAGACTCGGTTGTATCACAAACAAGCGAGGCAGTACTGGCTTGGATGTGTCTGCCGTTCAGGTATGTAATATTCACTGTGGATAGAAATATATGGTGATTTACGTATATTGGAGGGTTTCGTTATGTATGTAACACATTCAACTTGAATATAACAATGCTTCAAATGTTTATATCGATCGAAGGAAAGTGTCACAGGGGGCTATGTGGTCCGATTAATTAATCTATGTCTATGGACCTTAATGGTGTGTTAAATTTTATGATCGCGTACGTTTATCTGTTTATATATATATATATAATTTTGATGCACTTTTAGTTGCTGTGTACTATGAGCGAGATGTTAAGAACAAAATCGATGATTTAATACAACAAAGATTCGCACACATATCGGGTGATATTTATAGTGTTCTAGTTATACCGTCTACTGTATTTAGTGATACTTCACTTACGCTTTCTTTGTTACCATGGAAACAAATAGAAATATAAGACGTACTGTTTGCAAGATTATTTTGGCTATGCCGCTAAAACTGTCAAACTGATCTGTACAAAAATATCAGGCCAATGTTCTTCTAGTGAGAATTCATTTTATTATTTTATGCTACACTGATGTTCATCGGAGACAAGTACTAAGCACTTAATGACACGGATGAACTAACCCTGACTGGAAATTGTCTGGAAGCTGGGCGCGAGGGCAATGCCACACTTTTGGGCGCCATCTTGATAATTATGATGCTAGGTTTCGAATCCTTTATACCTCATGTTTTAGCGATACACTTATGACGTATTTGTTGAAAATCAGCTGATGCTTTTTTCCGATTTCTAAAATTTGAAAAAAAATATCGGCATATCAACTTAAAGATAGACAAGTAAAAATTCTCACAGTTCCCAACCAAACCACGGTCCCCGTTCAATTTAAATCCAACTGTATCTAAATCATCATATAAAAAATAATTATTTTGTAGCCGAAACCATTCTGTGCCTGTCAATTGTCCGACCACTACAAGGATAACACCTCTTTGCTTGTGGTTTAATCTATATAGAACTTCGCCTAGAGATGCGTAACACTATTGGTGAATGAAGCTTCTGTGCCTCGTCTCTTTTACACTACATTTAAACACTAGTCTCTCGGAATTTTCTTCAATATCCAAGCTCAAATAGCCATCCGCAAAATCCTTTAGTCTTGCGGACGATCCTTTCTCGAGGTTTGGATTACAATCATGTTGACTTTTACTTTCACACCGACCATTTGTAGCGGAGAATCTAAAGGCTAAACGATATCCCTAGAATTCATATTGACAACTTAAAAACAAAGAAATGGTCGAAACACAATCCCAGCATTGTGCAAGCATCCTAATATCCTTACACTAATCTCCGAACAAAGACCATCTTTTGTCCGATAATTTCCAAGTCTAGGTCTGTTTTTATACAAATGTAGACTGACCAGGGGGTGGACCCGCTTACTCTGGGTCACCATTGTGTAGTATCTGGCTGAATTGTATGTCTATAGTGTTTTGTTAATGCTGTAGATATTATGGGTGTAAGGACAATGAAATGTCTCACGGTGAGGATAGGGTAGACACATGGACAATGAAATGTCTCACAGTGAGGATAGGGTAGACACATGGACAATGAAATGTCTCGCAGTGAGGATAGGGTAGACACATGGACAATCAAATGTCTCGCAGTGAGGAATAGGATAGGGTAGACACATGGACAATGAAATGTCTCGCAGTGAGGATAGGGTAGACACATGGACAATGAAATGTCTCGCAGTGAGGATAGGGTAGACACATGGACAATGAAATGTCTCACAGTGAGGATAGGGTAGACACATGGACAATGAAATGTCTCGCTGTGAGGATAGGGTTGACACATGGACAATCAAATGTCTCACGGTGAGGATAGGGTAGACACATGGACAATGAAATGTCTCGCAGTGAGGATAGGGTAGACACATGGACAATGAAATGTCTCACAGTGAGGATAGGGTAGACACATGGACAATGAAATGTCTCGCAGTGAGGATCGGGTAGACACATGGACAATGAAATGTCTCAGTGAGCAGTGAGGATAGGGTAGACACATGGACAATGAAATGTCTCACAGTGAGGATAGGGTAGACACATGGACAATGAAATGTCTCACAGTGAGGATAGGGTAGACACATGGACAATGAAATGTCTCACGGTGAGGATAGGGTAGACACATGGACAATGAAATGTCTCACAGTGAGGATAGGGTAGACACATGGACAATCAAATGTCTCGCAGTGAGGATAGGGTAGACACATGGACAATGAAATGTCTCACAGTGAGGATAGGGTAGACACATGGACAATGAAATGTCTCACAGGATAGAGACACATGGACAATGAAATGTCTCAGTGAGGATAGACACATGGACAATGAAATGTCTCACAGTGAGGATAGGGTAGACACATGGACAATGAAATGTCTCACAGTGAGGATAGGGTAGACACATGGACAATGAAATGTCTCGCAGTGAGGATAGGGTAGACACATGGACAATGAAATGTCTCACAGTGAGGATAGGGTAGACACATGGACAATGAAATGTCTCACAGTGAGGATAGGGTAGACACATGGACAATGAAATGTCTCACAGTGAGGATAGGGTAGACACATGGACAATGAAATGTCTCACAGTGAGGATAGGGTAGACACATGGACAATGAAATGTCTCGCAGTGAGGATAGGGTAGACACATGGACAATGAAATGTCTCACAGTGAGGATAGGGTAGACACATGGACAATCAAATCTCTCACAGTGAGGATAGGGTAGACACATGGACAATGAAATGTCTCACAGTGAGGATAGGGTAGACACATGGACAATGAAATGTCTCACAGTGAGGATAGGGTAGACACATGGACAATGAGTGAGGATAGGGTAGACACATGGACAATGAAATGTCTCACAGTGAGGATAGGGTAGACACATGGACAATGAAATGTCTCGCAGTGAGGATAGGGTAGACACATGGACAATGAAATGTCTCACAGTGAGGATTAATTCTCTCCTTTTCACCCTTGGTGAATCTCACGGTTTATTCTCCCCTTTTCACCCTTGGTGAATCTCACGGTTTATTCCCCCCTTTTCACCCTTGTTGAATCTCACGGTTTATACTCTCCGTTTCACCCTTGGCTAATCTCACGAGTTATACTCTTTTTTGTAACCGGTTAATAATAGTCTTTTCTTCTTTGTGGATCTCATGATGTTACTCTCCGTTCACCCTTGGCGGATCTCATGATTGATATTGTCTTTTCACCCTTGGATGATTCACGATTTGCTCAAAATATGTTTGTGTTATAAATCAATTATGATCATCATGGTTTCGTGCTATCAGCATAATTACGCAGCATATTTCGTCTGTGAAATGATCGCTGATAAATATGTTTTTTTTTATGATCGATACAGTAACGCTACACACGTCTATCCAAATCCTGTTCAATCGATGTCCAACAAAGATCCGGTTAATACTGATCAGAGGACAACTCCGTCTCGCCGCTCCGCTTGCTTGCCTCCTTACGTCACAATCACATTTGCCTGACTGCCAGAGATTTAGCCACTGATTATCGTTGTAATCTACGAGGTTAACTAGTAAAGTTTTATCTGTGACGTCAGAGAGGACATCGTAATTCTGATATGCACACTAATCCCTGCAGTCATTGGCTATCGCAGTTTCTACTCCTGGTCCTAGTTGTTCAAATGGTGATTAGTGACAACTAGTGGTTTTTGAAATTATGAAACGTTGAGGAAATGAAATATGGAACATTAGTTGTCATTTCATAGCTAAATATTTGTCGCGGTGGACCAGATTGATATGTTTTAAGTGTTAGTCTTGCCTTTATCGATTATGTTTTTTTCAGTGCTAGCAATTTTATCACTAACCACAGGTTAAGTTAACTATAACTAACAATCGGGGCCTCCAACAAACTGTGTTAGAATCTGTCAAGATGATGTGGACACCCAGGGACCTGTAAACTAGTCTCTCTGAATATGGTCCTATCATGATCTGTTTAGTACTAGATGTTAAGGTAATAGAAGTAACAGATCACTGTATCGAACGAGCCATCACATTTCACTACTTGCTAAGAACATCCTACCTTGGTACCTTCGCCGAATTTCAATAATTCACTTGGAAATGATCGCATGACAATTATTTTCAGGGTCTAAATTGTATTGAAGACTTCTATTCACTGCAATATATTTTTTCCTTGATTTCAGTATTCTTACGGCACCAGTATAAAAAAAAACCAAACAAATAGACAATGGGTTATGACGTCGACAGATTTGTGGTCAACGTAAATGAAGGTTTGCTTTGCTGTGTTTGCCGTGACGTGTTAGAGGACGCAGTCCAGGCCCCGTGTGAACATGCATTCTGTCGTGCATGCATCGAAGGATGGCTCGTCCAAAACACGCGCTGTCCAGAAGACAGGAAACCACTGTCAGTAGCTGTACTCAAACCTCTCTTTCGATACATGAAGAACGATTTGAACAAACTGCAACTGAAATGTTGCAATCACTTCCTGGGTTGTACATACATTGGTGATTTGGAGTTTATGCATACACATGAAGCGGAATGTCCAATGGGAACGGTAGCATGTCCAAACGAGAAATGTAAACTAATGGTCACTAGGAACGATTTGTCTGACCACTTGGACAATTGTGAATTCAGAGCAAAACAATGCACTCTTGGATGTGGCATGCTGATGGTCTCACCGGAGGACGTTTCTCACAATTGCATCGCGGAACTCCGAACCGCATTCGACGTTCTTCGGTCTGAAATGACGTGTAAGATTCAGGACCAGCGGCACGAGATGGAGCTCCGTTTGAACATGCAACGGGAACACATGGTTCAAAAAGAATCTATAATGCAATGCCAAGTTGATGAACTTAAGTCTGAACTATCCCGCATGTCACAAAAGATGAAACTTCTGATGGATTTGGAGATTCAAAGGCGCCAAGACGTCGAGAGACTGGAACTGGAGAAGAAAGAACTGATGGAACTACTGAAAGGCCAGGTTCGTGATGGTGCAGCGAGCAGGGGTCAAACGGCTGGTGCCAGTCATATGCACACCTCTTCATCTTTCATGGGCAAGGTCACAACCATTTGATGCACTGCAGATGGCACGCCGGTGAATTGAAAGGAAAGCAGATCATTTCGTCCATTTCACGTCGAATTTTCATTTTTTGGTGACGTAGAGTGTATCTATGTATCTTTCCCGGTGTGTTAATTAAGACTTCAGTATATGATACAAACTTTAGGAACGATCGTTTAGGTGCAAAGACCAACGAGATTTATCTACATCTATAATTTCCTGCTGTCCAGAAATCGATATAACAAGTGGTTTTAAACGTTGAATAAAAGCGACGCAAAAATGACATGGAACGGCTTCTCAACATCAGAAGCTGCAATCCAACCTTTGTCAATTCTTAACTTTTGAATACAGTATTCACCAAGCAATTAAAACCTATTCAGTATATCAGTCGCTTTATTCGATAGTGTTAGTATTTAATTAGAGTAACATATTTTTGTAACCTTTTCCAATCATATCCCTTAAAGATGTTACACAAGTATTCATATCTAATTGGTTTCATAAACGCAACTCCTTACAACCTCTCTATCTTTTATTTCATATATTATTTACCAAGCTTCTCCTCAAATTATTTGTTTCATTTGTTTGACATGGAGAAAAGGACGGCTGTCAGTTCTGATACAGAACTTTGATATAGAGAGAGTGAAGGCTGTCAGTTCTGATAGAGAACTTTGATGTAGAGAGAGTGACGGCTGTCAGTTCTGATACAGAGCTTTGATATAGAGAGAGTGACGGCTGTCAGTTCTGATACAGAACTTTGATGTAGAGAGACTGACGGCTGTCAGTTCGGATACAAAATTTTGATATATAGAGAGTGACGGCTGTCAGTTCTGATTCAGAACTTTGATATAGAGAGAGTGACGGCTGTCAGTTCTGATACAGAACTTTGATATAGAGAGAGTGACGGCTGTCAGTTCTGATAGAGAAATTTGATGTAGAGAGAGTGACGGCTGTCAGTTCTGATTCAGAACTTTGATATAAAGAGAGTGACGGCTGTCAGTTCTGATACAGAACTTTGATATAGAGAGAGTGACGGCTGTCAGTTCTGATTCAGAAGAGTGATATAGAGATTGACGGCTGTCAGTTCTGATAGAGAACTTTGATGTAGAGAGTGAAGGCTGTCAGTTCTGATACAGAACTTTGATGTAGAGAGGGTGACGGCTGTCAGTTCTGATAGAGAACTTTGATGTAAAGAAGGTGAAGGCTGTCAGTTCTGATACAGAGTTTTGATGAAGAGAGAGTGACGCCTATCAGTTCTGATAGAGAACTTTGATGTAGAGAGAGTGAAGGCTGTCAGTTCTGATACAGAACTGTGATGTAGAGAGAGTGACGGCTGTCAGTTCTGATACAGAACTTTGATATAGAGAGAGTGACGGCCGTCAGTTCTGATACAGAACTTTGTTATAGTGAGATTGACGGCTGTCAGTTCTGATAGAGAACTTTGATGTAGAGAGAGTGACGGCTGTCAGTTCTGATACAGAACTTTGATGTAGAGAGATTGACGGCTGTCAGTTCTGATAGAGAACTTTGATGTAGAGAGAGTGAAGGCTGTCGGTTCTGACACAGAACTTTGATATAGAGAGAGTGACGGCTGTCAGTTCTGATTCAGAAGAGTGATATAGAGATTGACGGCTGTCAGTTCTGATAGAGAACTTTGATGTAGAGAGTGAAGGCTGTCAGTTCTGATACCGAACTTTGATGTAGAGAGAGTGACGGCTGTCAGTTCTGATACAGAACTTTGTTATAGTGAGATTGACGGCTGTCAGTTCTGATAGAGAACTTTGATGTAGAGAGAGTGACGGCTGTCAGTTCTGATACAGAACTTTGATATAGAGAGAGTGACGGCTGTCAGTTCTGATACAGAACTTTGATGTAGAGAGAGTGACGGCTGTCAGTTCTGATACAGAACTTTGATATAGTGAGATTGACGGCTGTCAGTTCTGATAGAGAACTTTGATGTAGAGAGAGTGAAGGCTGTCAGTTCTGACACAGAACTTTGATGTAAAGAGGGTGACGGCTGTCAGTTCTGATACAGAACTTTGATGTAGAGAGAGTGACGCCTATCAGCTCTGATAGAGAACTTTGATGTAGAGAGAGTGACGGCTGTCAGTTCTGATAGAGAACTTTGTTATAGTGAGATTGACGGCTGTCAGTTCTGATACAGAACTTTGATGTAGAGAGAGTGACGGCTGTCAGTTCTGATACAGAACTGTGATATAGAGAGAGTGACGGCTGTCAGTTTTGATAGAGAAATTTGATATAGAGAGATTGACGGCTGTCAGTTCTGATACAGAACTGTGATGTGGAGATAGTGACGGCTGTCAGTTCTGATAGAGAACTTTGTTATAGTGAGATTGACGGCTGTCAGTTCGGATACGAACTTTGTAATAGTGAGATTGACGGCTGTCAGTTCTGATACAGAACTGTGATGTGGAGATAGTGACGGCTGTCAGTTCTGATACAGAACTTTGTTATAGTGAGATTGACGGCTGTCAGTTCTGATAGAGAACTTTGATGTAGAGAGAGTGAAGGCTGTCAGTTCTGATTCAGAACTTTGATATAGTGAGATTGACGGCTGTCAGTTCTGATACAGAACTGTGATGTGGAGATAGTGACGGCTGTCAGTTCTGATAGAGAACTTTGATGTAGAGAGAGTGACGGCTGTCAGTTCTGATACAGAGCTTTGATATAGAGAGAGTGACGGCCGTCAGTTCTGAAACAGAACTTTGTTATAGTGAGATTGACGGCTGTCAGTTCTGATACAGAACTTTGATATAGAGAGAGTGACGGCTGTCAGTTCTGATACAGAAGAGTGATATAGAGAGATTGACGGCTGTGAGTTTCGGTAGAAAACTTTGATGTTGAGAGAGTGACTGCTGTCAGTTCTGGTAGAGAACTTTGATGTAGAGAGAGTGACGGCTGTCAGTTCTGATACAGAAGAGTGATATAGAGAGAGTGACGGCTGTCAGTTCTGGTAGAGAACTTTGACGTAGAGAGAGTGACGGCTGTCAGTTCTGATACAGAAGAGTGATATAGAGAGAGTGACGACTGTCAGTTCTGATACAGAACTGTGATATAGAGAGAGTGACGGCTGTCAGTTCTGATACAGAACTGTGATATAGAGAGAGTGACGGCTGTCAGTTCTGATACAGAACTTTGATATAGAGAGAGTGACGGCTGTCAGTTCCGATACAGAACTGTGATGTAGAGAGAGTGACGGCTGTCAGTTCGGATACGAACTTTGTAATAGTGAGATTGACGGCTGTCAGTTCTGATACAGAACTGTGATGTGGAGATAGTGACGGCTGTCAGTTCTGATAGAGAACTTTGTTATAGTGAGATTGACGGCTGTCAGTTCTGATAGAGAACTTTGATGTAGAGAGAGTGAAGGCTGTCAGTTCTGATTCAGAACTTTGATATAGTGAGATTGACGGCTGTCAGTTCTGATACAGAACTGTGATGTGGAGATAGTGACGGCTGTCAGTTCTGATAGAGAACTTTGATGTAGAGAGAGTGACGGCTGTCAGTTCTGATACAGAGCTTTGATATAGAGAGAGTGACGGCCGTCAGTTCTGATACAGAACTTTGTTATAGTGAGATTGACGGCTGTCAGTTCTGATAGAGAACTTTGATGTAGAGAGAGTGACGGCTGTCAGTTCTGATACAGAACTTTGATATAGAGAGAGTGACGGCTGTCAGTTCTGATACAGAAGAGTGATATAGAGAGAGTGACGGCTGTCAGTTCTGGTAGAGAACTTTGACGTAGAGAGAGTGACGGCTGTCAGTTCTGATACAGAAGAGTGATATAGAGAGAGTGACGACTGTCAGTTCTGATACAGAACTGTGATATAGAGAGAGTGACGGCTGTCAGTTCTGATACAGAACTGTGATATAGAGAGAGTGACGGCTGTCAGTTCTGATAGAGAACTTTGATATAGAGAGAGTGACGGCTGTCAGTTCTGATACAGAACTGTGATGTAGAGAGAGTGACGGCTGTCAGTTCTGATACAGAACTTTGATATAGTGAGATTGACGGCTGTCAGTTCTGATAGAGAACTGTGATGTAGAGAGAGTTACGCCTATCAGTTCTGATAAAGAACTTTGATGTAGAGAGAGCGAAGGCTGTCAGTTCTGATTCAGAACTTTGTTATAGTGAGATTGACGGCTGTCAGTTCTGATAGAGAACTTTGATGTAGAGAGAGTGACGGCTGTCAGTTCTGATACAGAACTGTGATATAGAGAGAGTGACGGCTGTCAGTTCTGATACAGAAGAGTGATATAGAGAGATTGACGGCTGTCAGTTCTGATACAGAACTTTGATGTAGAGAGAGTGACGGCTGTCAGTTCTGATACAGAACTTTGATGTAGAGAGACTGACGGCTGTCAGTTCTGATACAGAACTTTGATATAGAGAGAGTGACGGCTGTCAGTTCTGATACAGAACTGTGATATAGAGAGAGTGACGGCTGTCAGTTCTGATAGAGAACTTTGTTATAGTGAGATTGACGGCTGTCAGTTCTGGATACGAGATTGACGGCTGTCAGTTCTGATAGAGAACTTTGATGTAGAGAGAGTGACGGCTGTCAGTTCGGATACAGAACTGTGATATAGAGAGAGTGACGGCTGTCAGTTCTGATAGAGAACTTTGTTATAGTGAGATTGACGGCTGTCAGTTCGGATACGAACTTTGTAATAGTGAGATTGACGGCTGTCAGTTCTGATACAGAACTGTGATGTGGAGATAGTGACGGCTGTCAGTTCTGATAAAGAACTTTGATGTAGAGAGAGTGACGGCTGTCAGTTCTGATACAGAACTTTGATATAGAGAGAGTGAAGGCTGTCAGTTCTGATAGAGATCTTTGATGTAGAGAGAGTGACGGCTGTCAGTTCTGATACAGAACTTTGATGTAGAGAGAGTGACGGCTGTCAGTTCTGATAGAGAAATTTGATATAGAGAGAGTGACGGCTGTCAGTTCTGATACAGAACTGTGATATAGAGAGCGTGACGGCTGTCAGTTCTGATACAGAACTGTGATATAGAGACTGACAGCTGTCAGTTTGGATACAGAACTGTGATATAGAGAGCGTGACGGCTGTCAGTTCTGATACAGAACTGTGATATAGAGAGACTGACAGCTGTCAGTTCTGATAGAGAAATTTGATATAGAGAGAGTGACGGCTGTCAGTTCTGATACAGAACTGTGATATAGAGAGAGTGATGGCTGTCAGTTCTGATACAGAGGAGTGATATAGAGAGAGTGACGGCTGTCAGTTCTGATACAGAACTTTGATGTAGAGAGTGACGGCTGTCAGTTCTGATACAGAACTGTGATATAGAGAGACTGACAGCTGTCAGTTCTGATAGAGAAATTTGATATAGAGAGAGTGACGGCTGTCAGTTCTGATACAGAACTGTGATATAGAGAGAGTGACGGCTGTCAGTTCTGATACAGAGGAGTGATATAGAGAGAGTGACGGCTGTCAGTTCTGATACAGAACTGTGATGTGGAGAGAGTGAGGGTTTTTAGTTTTGATATTGAAGTGTAATGAAAGCTATGGCTATTAGTTTTCTGTACTTTTGGCTAAGTTTCAAACATTGTATCAAGGGACTTAACCCATCCTTGTGTGTTAAGTAACAAGTGAAGGAAGGAATTTTTCTGAAGCACCTATCATTTGTAATCTTCTATTACCTGTACCTTCTGAATAAATATCATACAAATATCAGTGGGTTTATTTCGTGTACTTACCACCCATTTAATGATATATATGTGTACTTACCACCCATTTAATGATATATATGTGTACTTACCACCCATTTAATGATATATATGTGTACTTACCACCCATTTAATGATATATATGTGTACTTACCACCCATTTAATGATATATATGTGTACTTACCACCCATTTAATGATATATATGTGTACTTACCACCCATTTAATGATATATATGTTTTCAGTGAAATCTGTTATTACATCTTTACATGAACATAATATTGTTGAGCATTCACAGTTGCAAATATGAACATTTTTATCACTAAAATCACAAAGTTCTCATAATTAGTATATTTTCATGATCAAACTTAAGAATTTCCACATGCAGACACAAGAAAAGTGAATATACCTACATTAAAAAAAATTGAACTTCAAAGATTGTGAAGTAACTCCTAACACCGATTCAGGATAACTGTATTTAAATTATACGATAAACCTTTGGTCACTCCAAACAAAAGGTAATACATATTGTTGAACAATTGTGAATTATATGAAATTATGCTTAAGGAAAAAAAATTTGAATCATCAAAGCTGACATCACCCATAATCACCTTTAAAATGGCTGATTGGCAAAAACAATACATGTACAGAATAATGAAAAATGTGTCAGCTATGATATAATTATCTTCTGAAACCCTCAGATGTTAATCCACTGCTAAGAAATTGCAGTGAAATATGAAAAGAAAGGGTTTCAAATTATCCCTTGAGATATAATTATTGTTTTTATTGAAAAAAATAACTGTTTAAATTACCCACATATTCAAATTGATGCAACAGTAACCATCTATCTACATATGCACACTGCATGTAGTATATTTGAAAGAACTTTATTTCATCTTGAGAAAATCTAGTGCCCAACATGTGGTTTTCTTGTTGTCTATTTGAAATGACTTCAGTTTCAGATACATGTACCTAGTATATATTTTAGTTTCCACTTTTAAACCAAATGTTGATACCAAATTATGGTGGGAAAATATCACAGAATAAATAAACATTGTTTATATCAACAAACTATGCTTATTTAATATGTACTCAACTTTAAATTTCAATATTCATTGTCATGAATATTTACATTTCAGTTTGAGTGATACAAATATCAAATGTTGTTGATTATGTGTAATACATATTAAGTGTAATACATATTATGTGTAATACATCATATTATGTGTAATACATATTATGTAATACATATTATGTGTAATACATATTAAGTGTAATACATATTATGTGTAATACATATTATGTGTAATACATATATTATGTGTAATACATATTAAGTATAATACATATTATGTGTAATACATATTAAGTGTAATACATATTATGTGTAATACATATGTGGTGTGCATTTACATATTTGTTTACAGAATATTTGTTTTCATTTCATCAAAGAAACAACATTTACAACTCCTGTGTAGGTCAAGGTCATTTACCAATAAACAAAATCCATTAGTCCTTCACTAAAGATACCTAGCATGACTATAGGCCTTTTGCTTCAGTGTAAGTTTAGTTCAATCCTTGCACATGTAATCACTCAAGTTCAGAAAATGTAATATAATAGACTGCTGCCACAGAGTTCCCTCCAAGAAATGGAACTTTATAAAAAACTAAAACCTCCAGACTAAATTTGATGCTTTATTACTATTCTATTGTTTTGTCAACATGGGAATACATCATAAAGCACAATTTAAAACGTCCATATTTATGATAACCATGCATTGGTCACAAAATGGTATATATACAAAGAAATTGTTCGATAGCACAATGATTTAATACATTGTCAGAAGTAAAAAGTCAACATATTAGTTCAGCTTCAGAAGTCTCTGAAATCAACACAAGCTGAATAGTAAGCACTAGTTCTCATAATCTTCTGGGTATTCAAAACTGAACCATAGAGTCACTGTCACAATTGCCATTACAACAACAGCATTAGCATCATGAAAACAAACATGTATGTGTTTGATACATAAAATATGTAGAATTTCTATACAACTGATGATGTCTGTATCAGGAATTACTCCATAGAACTGCATGTTCCTCTTATAAGTCTGAGTGTGATTATCTCCCTTTGTTGATCGTTTTATTTCAGTATACTGATATTATTCAATTCTGTCAATATTTAAAGACTCTGACCTTAAAGTGTGATTTTTGTTAAGTCTCTCAGAACTGATTAACACTGTGTAAATTTCTATTAACTCAGAGTGAATGATCATGTTGTAACACATCTCACACTTTTCTACAGGTATATGGCAAGGTATGTATTCTCAATTGCTAAAGTTTAATTCCAGCACAAATATCCCCATAAAAAACATTTAAAGGACTTCTTTATTCTCAAAATTCTATAAATTATATTCTTGGAAATCTGAATTTCAATTACATATATTTTCAATCAGGAGAAATATAATTTCAAGTTTAATTGCACTATGTGATATCTATTTGTTCAAGAACCATGTTGATGTCCTGGAGATGGTGTTGGTGATATCTATTTGTTCAAGAACCATGTTGATGTCCTGGAGATGGTGTTGGTGATATCTATTTGTTCAAGAACCATGTTGATGTCCTGGAGATGGTGTTGGTGATATCTATTTATTCAAGAACCATGTTGATGTCCTGGAGATGGTGTTGGTGATATCTATTTGTTCAAGAACCATGTTGATGTCCTGGAGATGGTGTTGGTGATATCTATTTGTTCAAGAACCATGTTGATGTCCTGGAGATGGTGTTGGTGATATCTATTTGTTAAAGAACCATGTTGATGTCCTGGAGATGGTGTTGGTGATATCTATTTATTCAAGAACCATGTTGATGTCCTGGAGATGGTGTTGGTGATATCTATTTGTTAAAGAACCATGTTGATGTCCTGGAGATGGTGTTGGTGATATCTATTTGGTAAAGAACCATGTTGATGTCCTGGAGATGGTGTTGGTGATATCTATTTGTTAAAGAACCATGTTGATGTCCTGGAGATGGTGTTGGTGATATCTATTTGTTCAAGAACCATGTTGATGTCCTGGAGATGGTGATGGTGATATCTATTTGTTCAAGAACCATGTTGATGTCCTGGAGATGGTGTTGGTGATATCTATTTGTTAAAGAACCATGTTGATGTCCTGGAGATGGTGTTGGTGTTATCTGTTTGGTAAAGAACCATGTTAATGTCCTGGAGATGGTGTTGGTGATATCTATTTGGTAAAGAACCATGTTGATGTCCTGGAGATGGTGTTGGTGATATCTATTTGGTAAAGAACCATGTTGATGTCCTGGAGATGGTGTTGGTGATATCTATTTGGTAAAGAACCATGTTGATGTCCTGGAGATGGTGCTGGTGATTTATTTGGTAAATGAGCGCTGATGATGTCCGGGATACTCCCTCCTTCCTCCCCTGAATATCTGGCCTCCAAATCTACAACAGAATTAAATCAGAGTTTGCACTGAATTAATAATAAGACTAAAATGTTGTCAAATGTAATCATAACCAGACAACTAAGAGTTATGTAGATTCTCTGTTACCTCACACAACTGAGGTTGTGAAAATTACTTTTGTTATGTCACAACAATTGACCATGACACAGGTAGGGATGGTGTGATATAATGACACAGGTAGGGATGGTGTGATATAATGACACAGGTAGGGATGGTGTGATATAATGACACAGGTAGGGATGGTGTGATACAATGACACAGGTAGGGATGGCGTGATATAATGACACAGGTAGAGATGGTGTGATATAATGACACAGGTAGATATGGTGTGATCTAATGACACAGGTAGGGATGGTGTGATATAATGACACAGGTAGATATGGTGTGATCTAATGACACAGGTAGGGATGGTGTGATATAATGACACAGGTAGATATGGTGTGATCTAATGACACAGGTAGGGATGGTGTGATATAATGACACAGGTAGGGATGGTGTGATATTGTTTTGGAGATATTCTGACAACACAATCAGTTTAACAATATATCCACAGTCAGAACAATATTCAATAGACCAATCTTCTTCCACAGCTACTTACTTTTCTGATTTTGCAAAACACTCTACATGAATCAATGAACAACAATCATTGTTTTTCTTTGGCTTTCTTTATTACGTCCCTACACAAAATTGCAGATATATTGTGTTTTGTTTGTTGCATATGCAAGTATTTTACCTGTACCTTATCGAACAACAGATAAGAAGTTCATTGAACAGTCAAAAATGTATTTTGTCATTCAGCAAGGATTTCAATATAACTTGGTTTGACTGAATTTCCTGTTCAGAAGTTGTCGAATGGTGAAAGAGATGGCAGTGTGTCATTTCTGATGGAATTATGGATAACTGTTACATGGAGGTCATCATAATATTGTAACATAAAACTTTGGGTAAGATATGGCTTGGAAGCCAGTTTTTATATGTATATGTATAGATATGAACATGAACTGTCTATCCCTGACCTTATAGAGTGTATAGTTCTGACCTTGGACTGTCTATCCCTGCCCATTTACATTGTATAGGTTGGACCTTGGACTGTCTGTCCCTTACCTTTTACAGTGTATAGGTCTGACCTTTGACTGTCTATCCCTGACTTTTTACAGTGTATAAGTCTGACCTTGGACTGTCTGTCCCTGACCTTTTACAGTGTATAGGTCTGACCTTGGACTGTCTGTCTCTGACCTTTTACAGTGTATAGATCTGACCTTGGACTGTCTGTCCCTGACCTTTTACAGTGTATAGGTCTGACCTTGGACTGTCTGTCCCTGACCATTTACATTGTATAGGTCGGACCTTGGACTGTCTGTCCCTGACCTTTTACAGTGTATAGGTCTGACCTTGGACTGTCTGTCCCTGACCTTTTACAGTGTATAGGTCTGACCTTGGACTGTCTGTCCCTGACCTTTTACAGTGTATAGGTCTGACCTTGGACTGTCTGTCCCTGACCTTTTACAGTGTATAGGTCTGACCTTGGACTGTCTGTCCCTGACCTTTTACAGTGTATAGGTCTGACCTTGGACTGCCTGTCCCTGACCTTTTACAGTATATAGGTCTGACCTTGGACTGTCTGTCCCTGACCTTTTACAGTGTATAGGTCTGACCTTGGACTGTCTGTCCCTGACCTTTTACAGTGTATAGGTCTGACCTCGGACTGTCTGTCCCTGACCTTTTACAGTGTATTGGTCTGACCTCGGACTGTCTGTCCCTGACCTTTTACAGTGTATAGGTCTGACCTTGGACTGCCTGTCCCTGACCTTTTACAGTATATAGGTCTGACCTTGGACTGTCTGTCCCTGACCTTTTACAGTGTATAGGTCTGACCTTGGACTGTCTGTCCCTGACCTTTTACAGTGTATAGGTATGAGCTTGAACTTTTCGTAATGTCTTTGATCTTTGATTCAGTATAGAAGTAATGAAACACCTTACCTTCCACCACTGCTGTCCTGGTCCTTGTTCCAGTAACTTCCACGACCTTGAGGAGAGAAACGAAACTCCTTTCCACCTCTTCTCTCCCCCTGCCCTACTCTGCCTCCAACTCCTACATCACTACAAACAAAGATGAGTTGTTAGAAATATTTAAGAATACAGGTAATTATAATATAATTTGTAAGATATTGTCAGTTGTCTTATGACATACAAGACAACAAGCCAGCAGATGAAAATTCACTTGCTTGAATTCTACCAGACTTGGAAATCACAGTTATACATTTAATTATTTATGCAGTTTAGAAAATGAATGTAATTATATATTATGTATATATGACTGTATAAGTTGGTAATAGTTGTAGGGGATTCAATGTTTAAATAGATGAAATCATAAGCACACAAAATATTTCACAGTGAATTAAAAAAGCATAAAAACATACATATACATGGAAACCAATATCTCAAGGTCTCATATGAATTGATCAAGCTGATCTTCTGTGAAACTTTTATATCCGGGAACTCGTAAAATGATAAGAAAAAAATATTAGAATTACACAGTATTTGAAAAAAAGCTGATATACTTTATGACCAGCAGAATACATTAGACCATAGATTGAGCCTATAACCGTTTTGTAGTTTGCTATTCATTTCTCACTACTGTACTTAAGGATATAACCATTTCTCACTATGACTTAACGCATACGCTTTACTTCAGGATAATATCATTTTTCACTATGACTTAACACACACGCTGTACTTAAGGATATAACCATTTCTCACTATGACTTAACACACACACTGTACTTAGGGATATAACCATTTCTCACTATGACTTAACACATACGCTGTACTTAAGGATAATACCATTTCTCACTATGACTTAACACACACGCTGTACTCAAGGATATAACCATTTCTCACTATGACTTAACACATACGCCGACTCAAGGATATAACCATTTCTCACTATGACTTAACACACACGCTGTACTTAAGGATATAACCATTTCTCACTATGACTTAACACATACCCTGTACTTAAGGATATAACCATTTCTCACTATGACTTAACACATACGCCGACTCAAGGATATAACCATTTCTCACTATGACTTAACACATACACTGTACTTAGGGATATAACCATTTCTCACTATGACTTAACACATACGCCGACTCAAGGATATAACCATTTCTCACTATGACTTAACACACACGCTGTACTTAAGGATAATACCATTTCTCACTATGACTTAACACACACGCTGTACTCAAGGATATAACCATTTCTCACTATGACTTAACACATACGCCGACTCAAGGATATAACCATTTCTCACTATGACTTAACACACACGCTGTACTTAAGGATATAACCATTTCTCACTATGACTTAACACACACGCTGTACTTAAGGATATAACCATTTCTCACTATGACTTAACACATACACTGTACTTAGGGATATAACCATTTCTCACTATGACTTAACACATACGCCGACTCAAGGATATAACCATTTCTCACTATGACTTAACACACACGCTGTACTTAAGGATATAACCATTTCTCACTATGATTTAACACACACGCTGTACTTAAGGATATAACCATTTTTCACTATGACTTAACACATACGCTGTACTTAAGGATATAACCATTTCTCACTATGACTTAACACATACGCTGTACTTAAGGATAATACCATTTCTCACTATGACTTAACACACGCTGTACTTAAGGATATAACCATTTCTCACTATGACTTAACACATACGCTGTACTTAAGGATATAACCATTTCTCACTATGACTTAACACATACCCTGTACTTAAGGATATAACCATTTCTCACTATGACTTAACACATACACTGTACTTAGGGATATAACCATTTCTCACTATGACTTAACACATACACTGTACTTAGGGATATAACCATTTCTCACTATGACTTAACACATACGCTGTACTTAAGGATATAACCATTTCTCACTATGACTTAACACATACCCTGTACTTAAGGATATAACCATTTCTCACTATGACTTAACACATACACTGTACTTAGGGATATAACCATTTCTCACTATGACTTAACACATACACTGTACTTAGGGATATAACCATTTCTCACTATGACTTAACACATACGCCGACTCAAGGATATAACCATTTCTCACTATGACTTAACACACACGCTGTACTTAAGGATATAACCATTTCTCACTATGACTTAACACACACGCTGTACTTAAGGATATAACCATTTCTCACTATGACTTAACACATACGCTGTACTTAAGGATATAACCATTTCTCACTATGACTTAACACATACGCTGTACTTAAGGATAATACCATTTCTCACTATGACTTAACACACACGCTGTACTTAAGGATGATACCATTTCTCACTATGACTTAACACACGCTGTACTTAAGGATATAACCATTTCTCGCTATGACTTTCTCCCACCAAGTTCTCAGTACTTATGTAAGATATGGATGTCTTAGCATTTCATTGAACATGTACCCATAGGAATGTTTTTACTTACTCTCTTTCAAAAGATCGCGGACTATTGAAATTTGACTTTTGTCTGTTACCATAGAAACTGCCTCGTCCTCCACCTCGATTACTTTCACCTACAAATGGACAATACAAAAGCTGAATTATTCATATTATTTTACAGTCATAATAATTATCTAAATCTTTATCACATTATAACAGGTTAAGACAGGGACAACATACCATAGGTAGTGTCTGTTGTTCTGTCACTACTACGATTGTAGTTAGTAGGTGGTGTGAAGAAGCGCCCTCCTCTGTATCCCCGTCCACCGCCACCTCGGTCAAATCCACCGCGGTCAAACCCCCTTCCTCCTCTCCCACCGCCTCTGTTCATCTCCTGTCAGACAAAAACATGACGCCTTACTTCATAGCTGTTTCTTTTAAAGAACAAATAAAAGCTAAATGGATATTTTATCACTCTCTGGTCCATACATAGATGTACATACCTACTGAAGGTGTGATCTTCATCCTAAACACAGTCTTCAATAACAATTATGCATTTACTTTTTCATTTCATAACAATTTTCCTCTCTTCTCCTTCTCTTTTCCATAATTATGTATAATATATTTTCATTCTTATAGCAATCTTCATCAATTTCATGTATTTTGTATATTGATGATGAAATACTGTCAGCCTACCTTTCCCATCATTCTTCGCTCTGGTATTGGAGTAAGAGATTGTGCTGGAGATTGTTGACCCTGAGAACCCTTTTCCAACTTCATGAAATCATCGACATGCATTGAAGGAGGTCTGCTGGTGTTTGGAGGTCGAGAACGGAAGGAATCCACGCGTCCAGTGTTGTTCATCATGCCTCTAGCTATACCTCGTCCTCTCATTGGAGCAACTGTTAAAATATTACAAGTAATTTCCATATTTGAATGTTTCTTTGCATGTTGTCATTATATTTCACATCAAACACCTTTTACTTACTATTTATTTTCAACATTGTTTTCTAAATTTCTCATCTTTTTCACCTCTACTGTTGACTTCACTTTTACTGTTCTGTTCTATTGTTGCCTTCACTTTTACTGTTCTGTTCTACTGTTGCCTTCACTTTTACTGTTGCCTTCACTTCTACTGTTGCCTTCACTTTTACTATTCTGTTCTACTGTTGCCTTCACCTCTACTGTTGCCTTCACTTTTACTGTTCTGTTCTACTGTTGCCTTCACTATTACTGTTGCCTTCACTTTTACTGTTGCCCTTTTACTGTTGCCTTCACTTTTACTGTTGCCTTCACTTCTACTGTTGCCTTCACTTTTACTGTTCTGTTCTACTGTTGCCTTCACCTCTACTGTTGCCTTCACTTTTACTGTTCTGTTCTACTGTTGCCTTCACTTCTACTGTTGCCTTCACTTTTACTGTTCCCTTCATTTCTACTGTTCCCTTCACTTTTACTGTTCCCTTCACTTCTACTGTTGCCTTCACTTTTACTGTTCTGTTCTACTGTTGCCTTCACTTTTACTGTTCTGTTCTACTGTTGCCTTCACTTTTATTGTTGCCTTCACTTTTACTGTTCTGTTCTACTGTTGCCTTCACTTTTATTGTTGCCTTCACTTTTACTGTTCTGTTCTACTGTTGCCTTCACTTTTACTGTTGCCTTCACTTTTACTGTTGCCTTCACTTTTACTGTTCTGTTCTACTGTTCCCTTCACTTTTACTGTTCCCTTAACTTCTACTGTTGCCTTCACTTTTACTGTTCTGTTCTACTGTTGCCTTCACTTCTACTGTTGCCTTCACTTTTACTGTTCCCTTCACCTCTACTGTTCCCTTCACTTCTACTGTTGCCTTCACATTTACTGTTGCCTTCACTTTTATTGTTGCCTTCACTTTTACTGTTCTGTTCTACTGTTGCCTTCACTTCTATTGTTCCCTTCATTTCTACTGTTGCCTTCACTTTTACTGTTCTGTTCTACTGTTGCCTTCACTTTTATTGTTCTGTTCTACTGTTCCCTTCACTTTTACTGTTCTGTTCTACTGTTGCCTTCACTTTTACTGTTCTGTTCTACTGTTGCCTTCACTTCTACTGTTCCCTTCATTTCTACTGTTGCCTTCACTTTTACTGTTCTGTTCTACTGTTGCCTTCACTTTTACTGTTCTGTTCTACTGTTGCCTTCACTTCTACTGTTGCCTTCACTTTTACTGTTCCCTTCATTTCTACTGTTCCCTTCACTTTTACTGTTCCCTTCACTTCTACTGTTGCCTTCACTTTTACTGTTCTGTTCTACTGTTCCCTTCACTTCTACTGTTGCCTTCACATTTACTGTTGCCTTCACTTTTATTGTTGCCTTCACCTCTACTGTTCCCTTCACTTTTACTGTTCCCTTCACTTTACTGTTCCCTTCACTTTTACTGTTCCCTTCACTTCTACTGTTGCCTTCACTTTTACAGTTCTGTTCTACTGTTGCCTTCACTTTTACTGTTCCCTTCACTTCTACTGTTGCCTTCACCTCTACTGTTCCCTTCACTTCTACTGTTCCCTTCACTTCTACTGTTCCCTTCACCTCTACTGTTGCCTTCACTTTTACTTTTGCCTTCACTTTTACTGTTCCCTTCACTTCTACTGTTCCCTTCACCTCTACTGTTGCCTTCACTTTTACTGTTCTGTTCTACTGTTGCCTTCACTTCTACTGTTGCCTTCACTTTTACTGTTCCCTTCACCTCTACTGTTCCCTTCACCTCTAATGTTCCCTTCACTTTTACTGTTCCCTTCACCTCTACTGTTCCCTTCACTTCTACTGTTCCCTTCACTTTTACTGTTCCCTTCACTTCTACTGTTGCCTTCACTTTTACTGTTCCCTTCACCTCTACTGTTGCCTTCACCTCTACTGTTCCCTTCACATCTACTGTTCCCTTTACTTCTACTGTTCCCTTCACTTTTACTGTTCCCTTCACCTCTACTGTTGCCTTCACTTTTACTGTTCTGTTCTACTGTTGCCTTCACTTCTACTGTTGCCTTCACTTTTACTGTTCCCTTCACCTCAACTGTTGCCTTCACCTCTACTGTTCCCTTCACCTCTACTGTTGCCTTCACTTTTACTGTTCTGTTCTACTGTTGCCTTCACTTCTACTGTTCCCTTTACTTCTACTGTTCCCTTTACTTCTACTGTTCCCTTCACCTCTACTGTTCCCTTCACTTCTACTGTTCCCTTCACCTCTACTGTTCCCTTCACTTCTACTGTTCCCTTCACCTCTACTGTTCCCTTTACTTCTACTGTTCCCTTCACCTCTACTGTTCCCTTCACTTCTACTGTTGCCTTCACTTTTACTGTTCCCTTCACCTCTACTGTTCCCTTTACTTCTACTGTTCCCTTTACTTTTACTTTTGCCTTCACTTTTACTGTTGCCTTCACTTCAAATGTTCCATTAACTTCTACTGTTCCCTTCACTTCAAATGTTCACTTCACTTCTAATGTTCCCTTCACTACTACTGTTCCATTCACTACTACTGTTCCTTCACTACTGTTCCTTCACTACTGTTCCTTCACTACTGTTCCCGTCATTTGAACTGTTTCATAGAAAAATTACAAACTGAATAATGATTTTACTGAGAGTTCAGCTCATGTTATTGAAAGTAACTTTGACTAATGAAAATTTTCACAAGCAAAAGGTCGTCACAAGCAAGAATATGATTGGAGACTCACCGAAAGGGTCGTCACAAGTAAGAGTTTGTTGGAGACTCACCAAAAGGTCGTCACAAGTAAGAATTTGATTGGAGACTCACCAAAAGGTCGACACAAGCAAGGGTTTGATTGGAGACTCACCAAAAGGTTGTCACAAGTAAGAGTTTGATTGGAGACTCACCAAAAGGTCGTCACAAGTAAGAATTTGATTGGAGACTCACCAAAAGGTCGTCACAAGTAAGAGTTTGATTGGAGACTCACCAAAAGGTTGTCACAAGGAAGAGTTTGATTGGAGACTCACCAAAAGGTCGTCACAAGTAAGAATATGATTGGAGACTCACCAAAAGGTCGACACAAGTAAGGGTTTGATTGGAGACTCACCAAAAGGTTGACACAAGCAAGAATATGATTGGAGACTCACCAAAAGGTCGTCACAAGTAAGAGTTTGATTGGAGACTCACCAAAAGGTCGTCACAAGTAAGAATTTGATTGGAGACTCACCAAAAGGTCGACACAAGCAAGGGTTTGATTGGAGACTCACCAAAAGGTTGACACAAGTAAGGGTTTTATTGGAGACTCACCAAAAGGTCGTCACAAGCAAAGGTTTGATTGGAGACTCACCAAAAGGTCGTCACAAGTAAGAGTTTGTTGGAGACTCACCAAAAGGTCGACACAAGCAAGGGTTTGATTGGAGACTCACCAAAAGGTCGTCACAAGTAAGGGTTTGATTGGAGACTCACCAAAAGGTCATCACAAGTAAGAATTTGATTGAAGACTCACCAAAAGGTCGTCACAAGTAAGGGTTTGATTGGAGACTCACCAAAAGGTCATCACAAGTAAGAATTTGATTGAAGACTCACCAAAAGATCGTCACAAGTAAGAGTTTGTTGGAGACTCACCAAAAGGTCGACACAAGCAAGGGTTTGATTGGAGACTCACCAAAAGGTCGACACAAGCAAGGGTTTGATTGCAGACTCACCAAAAGGTCGACACAAGCAAGGGTTTGATTGGAGACTCACCAAAAGGTCGTCACAAGTAAGGGTTTGATTGGAGACTCACCAAAAGGTCATCACAAGTAAGAATTTGATTGAAGACTCACCAAAAGGTCGTCACAAGTAAGAATTTGATTGGAGACTCACCAAAAGGTCGTCACAAGTAAGGGTTTTATTGGAGACTCACCAAAAGGTCGACACAAGCAAGGGTTTGATTGCAGAGGTCGACACAAGCAAGGCTTTGATTGCACTCACCAAAGGTCGTCACAAGTAAGGGTTTGATTGGAGACTCACCAAAAGGTCATCACAAGTAAGAATTTGATTGAAGACTCACCAAAAGGTCGTCACAAGTAAGAATTTGATTGAAGACTCACCAAAAGGTTGTCACAAGTAAGAATTTGATTGGAGACTCACCAAAAGGTCGTCACAAGTAAGGGTTTTATTGGAGACTCACCAAAAGGTCGACACAAGCAAGGGTTTGATTGCAGACTCACCAAAAGGTCGACACAAGCAAGGCTTTGATTGCAGACTCACCAAAAGGTCGTCACAAGTAAGGGTTTGATTGGAGACTCACCAAAAGGTCATCACAAGTAAGAATTTGATTAAAGACTCACCAAAAGGTCGTCACAAGTAAGAATTTGATTTGAGACTCACCAAAAGGTCGTCACAAGTAAGGGTTTTATTGGAGACTCACCAAAAGTTCGCCACAAGTAAGGGTTTTATTGGAGACTCACCAAAAGTTCGCCACAAGTAAGGGTTTTATTGGAGACTCACCAAAAGTTCGCCACAAGTAAGAATTTGATTGGAGACTCACCAAAAGGTCGTCACAAATAAGGGAGACTCACCAAAAGGTCGTCACAAGTAAAAGTCTGATGGGAGACTCACCAAAAGGTCGAAAGAGTAAGGGTTTGATAGGAGACTCACCAAAAGGTCGTCTGAAACCACGTCCTCTGTTGATACTAATTTCCTGGGACTTCCTCCTGTCACTGAAGGAAACAAGAGGTTTTCCATTTAAAAGTCTCTTTATACAAACATCCATCTGTCAAATTTTACAAGACTAATCTGATTATTGACATTTTGAAAAAATTTTAAAAGAACTTTTTCCATTTTTCATATATCATAGAAATTATACAAATTTCATGAAATTTGAAATTCCTCTTAAGTAATAGATATCATAATCTGTGACTGCCAAATCCATGATGGCTGCATGTCAACATTTTGTTTTGCTGGTTCTAAAAAAATCAAACAGGCACAACTAGGGACCAAACGGAGCCTATGTATTTAATTTGTGAAAGATCGATCCAATACGTCTGAAGACATAGCAATAACAAACTTTCATAGTCAAAATAAAAGACGGCTGCTGTCAGTCTCCTAGTTCTTTAGCTCAGTCCAAACATCAAATGGGCAATAACTAGGGACCAAGGGGAACGTATATATGAAATTCAAGAAAGATTCTTCCAATACTTCTCAAAAAGTAGCGATGAAAAGAATAGTTAACAAAAAGACAGCTGATGACGTTGGCAGGAACTATATCTAAAGACAACTTCTAAGCTTCAGTTATCAGAGCAAATATTTGTAAAATATACCAAATGAAACTAGACCTGTAAGCCAATGGCTGACTTACACCCCCCTGCTCCCTGTCATTTGGAAATACAATTTTATAGTACTGGGTGTATGAATATCTCTATCCATTAAATATCTGCATCATCCATTACATTTATTGACTTTCGTAAGTCTTAAAATACAACATTGATCATAAACATTTGTACCATGACCACAAAAAACAAAACCCTCTTTCAAATTTTTGCCTTTTTTTCACTTTTCCCTTTTTATTCTGGATCTTCCCGTCATCTGTGAACTTACCCCTGTTTCAGCCTTCGAGGTCGTGTAAGTTCCTCAGTAGAGGACATAGTTGTCTTCTTTAGTTCTTCCTCTAGATTAAACTCTGGACAATGCTTGGCACACATGCTTTCCATGTCAAAGCGAATCATGTCTGGCTCAATATCGGCTTCATCTAGTGCAGGATTGGCTAACCAGTAGGCAGGACTGAGACGCTCATCTTCACCATCCGTAACCACAAACACTGCCCGCATGTTGAACATGGCATTGAGTGACTCAGTTGCAGGTAGAACAGGCTCCAACACAGCTGAGGTGTAAAATGCATCTTGTACAACCAGTCATATAGAGGAGAACATTGTCACTTATTCCGAAATAAAACATATTGACAGAGTATAATGGTTAAATATTTGTGCATAGTAAATGTAAAGGCAAGTTTCAAACTATATCAAGCTGTTACAAAAACATTTCTTGAAGATATTACAAAAAGTACTTAAAATTGACCCGATATAGATAGGAACATTACCTGTCTTGTCCTGTGTGTGAAGTATTGACCAGATATAGATTGGAACATTACCTGTCTTGTCCTGTGTGTGAAGTATCGACCAGATATAGATTGGAACATTACCTGTCTTGTCCTGTGTGTGAAGTATCTACCAGATATAGATAGGAACATTACCTGTCTTGTCTTGTGTGTGAAGTATCGACCAGATATAGATAGGAACATTACCTGTCTTGTCCTGTGTGTGAAGTATTGACCAGATATAGATAGGAACATTACCTGTCTTGTCCTGTGTGTGAAGTATTGACAAGATATATAAAGGAACATTACCTGTCTTGTCCTGTGTGTGAAGTATCTACCAGATATAGATTGGAACATTACCTGTCTTGTCCTGTGTGTGAAGTATCTACCAGATATAGATTGGAACATTACCTGTCTTGTCCTGTGTGTGAAGTATCTACCAGATATAGATAGGAACATTACCTGTCTTGTCCTGTGTGTGAAGTATCTACCAGATATAGATAGGAACATTACCTGTCTTGTCCTGTGTGTGAAGTATTGACCAGATATATAAACGAACATTACCTGTCTTGTCCTGTGTGTGAAGTATTGACCAGATATAGATAGGAACATTACCTGTCTTGTCCTGTGTGTGAAGTATCTACCAGATATAGATGGGAACATTACCTGTCTTGTCCTGTGTGTGAAGTATCGACCAGATATAGATTGGAACATTACCTGCCTTGTCCTGTGTGTGAAGTATCTACCAGATATAGATAGGAACATTACCTGTCTTGTCCTGTGTGTGAAGTATTGACCAGATATAGATTGGAACATTACCTGTCTTGTCCTGTGTGTGAAGTATCGACCAGATATAGATAGGAACATTACCTGTCTTGTCCTGTGTGCGAAGTATCGACCAGATATAGATAGGAACATTACCTGTCTTGTCCTGTGTGCGAAGTATCGACCAGATAGAGATAGGAACATTACCTGTCTTGTCTTGTGTGTGAAGCATCAACCAGATATAGATAGGAACATTACCTGTCTTGTCCTGTGTGTGAAGCATCGACCAGATATAGATAGGAACATTACCTGTCTTGTCCTGGCTGTCTGTACTGGGTTCACGCAGCATTTTCATCAGATTAACCATATTGTCCAACAAACTTTCTAAGCTTTCCTCCTCCTTTGCACTATCCTGTTACCATGAAAACAATCAGTATAAAACAACGGCTTTACTATTTTGTGTGAAAGTATTTTTATTTCAAGAAACATTGTAATATTCTCACTATTATTTCCACAAAAAACTTTATGTGAAAAGTTTTACATACAGTGTTTAATGAAATAATATCAAAAAAGAGGTTGCAGGGATAATGATAACAGCATTCATATCATTATACTACATCTAGCATCCAAACTTCAATTAATTTCACAACAATTAGTATCAACTTAATATATTTACCAATCTTGCTAACCAATGTAGACGTATAAGGGGGTTCTTCATGAAGAAGATGGATGAAACACAGGGTTGAAGTGGAAATGGGAATTTAATGAGGGAGAAAAAATTAAACAGAGGGTGGAAGTGGACATGGGGTCCTTAATAAAGGAGACAGATAAAACACAGGGTTGAAGTCGACATGGGGTCCTTAATAAAGGAGACAGATAAAACAGAGGGTGGAAGTGGACATGGGGTCCTTAATAAAGGAGACAGATAAAACACAAGGTTGAAGTGGACATGGGGTCCTTAATAAAGGAGACAGATAAAACAGAGGGTGGAAGTGGACATGGGGTCCTTAATAAAGGAGACAGATAAAACACAGGGTTGAAATGGACATGGGGTCCTTAATAAAGGAGACAGATTAAACACAGGGTTGAAGTGGACATGGGGTCCTTAATAAAGGAGACAGATAAAACACAGGGTTGAAGTGGACATGGGGTCCTTAATAAAGGAGACAGATAAAACACAGGGTTGAAGTGGACATGGGGTCCTTAATAAAGGAGATGGACATGGGGTCCTTAATAAAGGAGACAGATAAAACACAGGGTTGAAGTGGACATGGGGTCCTTAATAAAGGAGACAGATAAAACACGGGGTTGAAGTGGACATGGGGTCCTTAATAAAGGAGACAGATAAAACACAGAGTTGAAGTGGACATGGGGTCCTTAATAAAGGAGACAGATAAAACACGGGGTTGAAGTGGACATGGGGTCCTTAATAAAGGAGACAGATAAAACACAGAGTTGAAGTGGACATGGGGTCCTTAATAAAGGAGACAGATAAAACACAGGGTTGAAGTGGACATGGGGTCCTTAATAAAGGAGACAGATAAAACAGAGGGTGGAAGTGGACATGGGGTCCTTAATAAAGGAGACAGATAAAACACAGGGTTGAAGTGGACATGGGGTCCTTAATAAAGGAGACAGATAAAACACAGGGTTGAAGTGGACATGGGGTCCTTAATGAAGGACACAGATAAAAGATGGACATGGGGTCCTTAATAAAGGAAAAGACATAAAGGAGACAGAAAAACACAGGGTTGAAGTGGACATGGGGTCCTTAATAAAGGAGACAGATAAAACAGAGGGTGGAAGTGGACATGGGGTCCTTAATAAAGGAGACAGATAAAACACGGGGTTGAAGTGGACATGGGGTCCTTAATAAAGGAGACAGATAAAACACAGGGTTGAAGTGGACATGGGGTCCTTAATAAAGGAGACAGATAAAAGATGGACATGGGGTCCTTAATAAAGGAGACAGATAAAACACAGGGTTGAAGTGGACATGGGGTCCTTAATGAAGGAGACAGATAAAAGATGGACATGGGGTCCTTAATAAAGGAGACAGATAAAACACAGGGTTGAAGTGGACATGGGGTCCTTAATAAAGGAGACAGATAAAACAGAGGGTGGAAGTGGACATGGGGTCCTTAATAAAGGAGACAGATAAAACACTGGGTTGAAGTGGACATGGGGTCCTTAATAAAGGAGACAGATAAAACACAGGGTGGAAGTGGACATGGGGTCCTTAATAAAGGAGACAGATAAAAGATGGACATGGGGTCCTTAATAAAGGAGACAGATAAAACACAGGGTTGAAGTGGACATGGGGTCCTTAATAAAGGAGACAGATTAAACACAGGGTTGAAGTGGACATGGGGTCCTTAATAAAGGAGACAGATAAAACACAGGGTTGAAGTGGACATGGGGTCCTTAATGAAGGACACAGATAAAAGATGGACATGGGGTCCTTAATAAAGGAGACAGATAAAACACAGGGTTGAAGTGGACATGGGGTCCTTAATAAAGGAGACAGATAAAACAGAGGGTGGAAGTGGACATGGGGTCCTTAATAAAGGAGACAGATAAAACACGGGGTTGAAGTGGACATGGGGTCCTTAATAAAGGAGACAGATAAAACACAGGGTTGAAGTGGACATGGGGTCCTTAATAAAGGAGACAGATAAAACACAGAGTTGAAGTGGACATGGGGTCCTTAATAAAGGAGACAGATAAAAGATGGACATGGGGTCCTTAATAAAGGAGACAGATAAAACACAGGGTTGAAGTGGACATGGGGTCCTTAATAAAGGAGACAGATAAAACACAGGGTTGAAGTGGACATGGGGTCCTTAATAAAGGAGACAGATTAAACACAGGGTTGAAGTGGACATGGGGTCCTTAATAAAGATGAGACAGATAAAACACAGGGTTGAAGTGGACATGGGGTCCTTAATAAAAGACAGATTAAACACAGGGTTGAAGTGGACATGGGGTCCTTAATAAAGGGGTAAAAAAACACAGGGTTGAAGTGGACATGGGGTTAAGGAGACAGATAAAAGATGGACATGGGGTCCTTAAGGAGACAGATAAAAGATGGACATGGGGTCCTTAATAAAGGAGACAGATAAAACACAGAGTTGAAGTGGACATGGGGTCCTTAATAAAGGAGACAGATAAAACACAGGGTTGAAGTGGACATGGGGTCCTTAATAAAGTGCCCACCAATATTAGCTTAGTGCCCACCAATATTAGCTTAGTGCCCACCAATACTAGCTTAGTGCCCACCAATATTAGGTCTTTACATGTGTCATCCTTTCCCTACTTTTTCTCCTCAAGAAATAGTGATCACAAGAATTGTATAATAAGGATGGGTGACAGACACAGAGCAATTCTAGTAGACCAATATTATAAATATTTCCACAATTCCAAAACAATTTTAACACTACGTTACGTAATTTACATTCCTAGCAAGCTCAGCTGACTTGAATTGATAAACTGTAATTATCAAGGCTTGAAAACAAATTCAAATTCTATAAAAAATTGTTAAGTTTTTCACCCGTTTCATCAGAATTTTCTATATTTCTATTTAACCTTAAAGTTGTAACATATCTTTAAAACAATGCTAACAGACCTCCAGGAGCTTTTCAAGGTCAAGCAGAGGGTGGTTCTCCATGCTAGGGTTCCAGGACAGCACAGCACGGAGCTCTGTTTGAGTGAGGGTGTAAGTTCGTGTCAGCTCGGGTCCATCTTCTGGAATCTCCACAAGCAAGCGTAGAAACTCGAGTAATGTGGAGAGAGTTGAAAGGCAGTCAGAACTGTCCTTACTAAATGTTGTGTTAATACGGACCATCAAACGACCTAGTGCTGTTGTCTTCTGCTCTAAAAGGCTGTTAACATATACCAACATTGCATTAAAAACACATATTATTTACACCATTTTATTTTGCGATGATTGTAATTAAGACTGTCCCTTTGACTACACTTTGTCATGAACGATTCTTTCTGAAATCTAAGCAGCATGCTGTACCATAATACTTCCATTTATGTAAATAACATTACAGGAGAACTAGGACTACCATTGCCATGGCATTCTCCTATGGCTTAAATAAAATCCAGTCAGTTGTTCATAGGAAAATTTACTGGAGGAAACTTATACGAAAGAAAGATAAATTTGATTAAATACATTGAGAACTTGATTATTATAGTATAACAAACTAACCTTTTGAGATGGAAAAAGCCGTAGTTATGGTCAGTGAACATGACCAGAGTTCGGACACAGGGCAGTATTGAAGCATAGTTGTGGTCAGGGTTTCCCATATGGTCAAGTAATGAGTTTGTGATCTGGCACATGTACTCTTTACTAGGCAATGCTTGAGCAATCTGCAAGTGACAACATTAATGTAGGATCTCACACAAGTTTCCATTTCATATGTGATAAAACAAGTCTAGAAACTTTCATTTCATTGAGCCTTTCAATAAAAATTGGGACAATTTTCAGAAATGTCATGAGACAGAAAACAATTTCATATCTTTTTAATCACATCATGACTTATCTTTACAAAACTTGCAGAAAACACACTCTTATAAATGACAGCTGAAGTCCTTTTGGCTCTGTTGTCTTCGTTGTGATAAGACAATGTGACTGTACGAGACATTCTATTATCTGATCCTGATAATACAACAGGCTGTATTATATGAGCTTATATTAAGATAAAATGAGGGAAATTAATTTCTGGTGTACTACACCCATCCCATGTAAAGAATACCTGTGATTTATTGTATTGAAATGAATACAACTATGGAAATGGTAACTGAACTCCAAATGCCAAGAGGGAAAACAGTGTCATATGTTTCATGATAAATTAAGGAATACCAAGTAAGAGTTTGGTTGAAAACTAAGACCAGAGATCTGTGGACAAGATTGAAATTCTGAAAGGAAGCAAGGGCAATAATTCTTTGAAATATTGTGATTCAAATTGGTGTCCATGAAAACACAATCTTGCCTTAAAGTCAAAGTTTGAAAGAAAACTGTTGAAAACTAATAGGGGAGATTTCCAGACAAAATTAATGTTGTTAAAATATAAAGGGTAGTGACTCTGAAAAATACAATTGAATAAAAGTGCAGTTACAGTAACCATAACTTTATGTGAAGGTGATTAAGCCCAGCAAGTTAAAAAGAAATCGCTAGAAAGCGGAGAGGTCTAGTGACAAGATTAACATCATGAAAACAACAAGGGGCAGTACTCTTACAAACAAAATGAAATTGTTATAAAGCCTACAACGTTCAAGAGAAAATGGTAGAAAATTAAGAGAGAAAAGTCTCCAGACAAGATTAACATTATGAAAACAACAAAGGGCAATAATTCTTCCAGATACATAATATCATGTCATGGAGTTAAAACCTACAAAAGTTTGAGAGATCATTTGATGGGCACGTACAATTATCAGATGTGTACACACACAGAATAAAACAGCAATAACGAGGTGAATAAATACACACACAGAATAAAACAGCAATATGGTGGTGAATAAATACACACACAGAATAAAACAATAACGAGGTGAATAAATACACACACAGAATAAAACAGCAATAACGAGGTGAATAAATACACACACAGAATAAAACACAGCAAATACACATACAGAATAAAACAGCAATAATGAATAAATACACATACAGAATAAAACAGCAATAACGAGGTGAATAAATACACATACAGAATAAAACAGCAATACGGTGGTGAATAAATACACACACAGAATAAAACAGCAATACGGTGGTGAATAAATACACATACAGAATAAAACAGCAATAACGAGGTGAATAAATACACACACAGAATAAAACAGCAATAACGAGGTGAATAAATACACATACAGAATAAAACAGCAATACGGTGGTGAATAAATACACATACAGAATAAAACAGCAATAACGAGGTGAATAAATACACATACAGAATAAAACAGCAATACGGTGGTGAATAAATACACACAGAATAAAACAGCAATAATGAGGTGAATAAATACACACACAGAATAAAACAGCAATACGGTGGTGAATAAATACACATACAGAATAAAACAGCAATAACGAGGTGAATAAATACACACACAGAATAAAACAGCAATAACAGCAATACGGTGGTGAATAAATACACACACAGAATAAAACAGCAATACGGTGGTGAATAAATACACACACAGAATAAAACAGCAATAACGAGGTGAATAAATACACACACAGAATAAAACAGCAATAAAACAGCAATAACGGTGAATAAATACACACACAGAATAAAACAGCAATACGAGGTGAATAAATACACACACAGAATAAAACAGGAATAACGAGGTGAATAAATACACATACAGAATAAAACAGCAATACGGTGGTGAATAAATACACATACAGAATAAAACAGCAATAACGAGGTGACAGAATAAAACAGCAATAACGAAATAAATACACATACATAAATACACACACAGAATAAAACAGCAATAACACACATGGTGAATAAATACACATACAGAATAAAACAGCAATAACGAGGTGAATAAATACACACACAGAATAAAACAGCAATAACGAGGTGAATAAATACACACACAGAATAAAACAGCAATAACGAAATAAATACACACACAGAATAAAACAGTGGTGAATAAATACACACACAGAATAAAACAGCAATACGGTGGTGAATAAATACACAAACAGAATAAAACAGCAATACGGTGGTGAATAAATACACACACAGAATAAAACAGCAATAACGAGGTGAATAAATACACACACAGAATAAAACAGCAATAACGAGGTGAATAAATACACACACAGAATAAAACAGCAATAACGAGGTGAATAAATACACACACAGAATAAAACAGCAATACGGTGGTGAATAAATACACACACAGAATAAAACAGCAAATAAATACACACACAGAATAAAACAGCAATAATGAGGTGAATAAATACACACAGAATAAAACAGGAATACGGTGGTGAATAAATACACACACAGAATAAAACAGCAATACGGTGGTGAATAAATACACATACAGAATAAAACAGCAATAACGAGGTGAATAAATACACACACAGAATAAAACAGGTGGTGAATAAATACACACACAGGTGGTGAATAAATACACACACAGAATAAAACAGCAATAACGAGGTGAATAAATACACATACAGAATAAAACAGCAATACGGAATAAAACAGGTGAATAAATACACACACAGAATAAAACAGCAATACGAGTGAATAAATACACACACAGAATAAAACAGCAATACGGTGGTGAATAAATACACACACAGAATAAAACAGCAATACGGTGGTGAAACAGCAATGAATAAATACACACACAGAATAAAACAGCAATAACGAGGTGAATAAATACACACACAGAATAAATAAATACACACACAGAATAAAACAATAACGAGGTGAATAAATACACACACAGAATAAAACAGCAATAACACACACAGAGGTGAATAAATACACACACAGCAATAAAACACACAGAATAAAACAGCAATAACGGGTGAATAAATACACACACAGAATAAAACAGCAATAAATACACACACAGAATAAAACAGAATAAATACACACACAGAATAAAACAGCAATAAATAAATACACACACAGAATAAAACAGGTGAATAAATACACACACAGAATAAAACAGCAATAAGGTGAATAAATACACACACAGAATAAAACAGCAATAACGGTGGTGAATAAATACACACACAGAATAAAACAGCAATAACGAATAAAACAGCAATAACGTGAATAAATACACAGAATAAAACAGCAATAACGGTGGTGAATAAATACACACACAGAATAAAACAGCAATACGAAATAAATACACATACAGAATAAAACAGCAATAACGAGGTGAATAAATACACACACAGAATAAAACAGCAATAACGAGGTGAATAAATACACACACAGAATAAAACAGCAATACGGTGGTGAATAAATACACACACAGAATAAATACAGCAATAACAGCAATACGGTGGTGAATAAATACACACACAGAATAAAACAGCAATAAAATAAAACAGCAATACGGTGGTGAATAAATACACACACAGAATAAAACAGCAATAACGAGGTGAATAAATACACATACAGAATAAAACAGCAATACGGTGGTGAATAAATACACACACAGAATAAAACAGCAATAACGAGGTGAATAAATACACACATAGAATAGCAATACGGTGGTGAAACAGCAATACGGTGGTGAATAAATACACACACAGAATAAAACAGCAATACGGTGGTGAATAAATACACACACAGAATAAAACAGCAATAACGAGGTGAATAAATACACACACAGAATAAAACAGCAATAACGAGGTGAATAAATACACATACAGAATAAAACAGCAATAACGAGGTGAATAAATACACACACAGAATAAAACAGCAATAACGAGGTGAATAAATACACACACAGAATAAAACAGCAATACGGTGGTGAATAAATACACACACAGAATAAAACAGCAATACGGTGGTGAATAAATACACATACAGAATAAAACAGCAATACGGTGGTGAATAAATACACATACAGAATGAAACAGCAATAACGAGGTGAATAAATACACATACAGAATAAAACAGCAATAACGAGGTGAATAAATACACACACAGAATAAAACAGCAATACGGTGGTGAATAAATACACACACAGAATAAAACAGCAATAACGAGGTGAATAAATACACACACAGAATAAAACAGCAATAACGAGGTGAATAAATACACACACAGAATAAAACAGCAATACGGTGGTGAATAAATACACACACAGAATAAAACAGCAATAACGAGGTGAATAAATACACACACAGAATACACACACAGGTGAATAAATACACACACAGAAAAAACAGCAATAACGAGGTGAATAAATACACATACAGAATAAAACAGCAATACGGTGGTGAATATACAATACACACACAATAAATACACACACAGAATAAAACAGCAATAACGAGGTGAATAAATACACATACAGAATAAAACAGCAATACGGTGGTGAATAAATACACACACAGAATAAAACAGCAATAACGAGGTGAATAAATACACATACAGAATAAAACAGCAATACGGTGGTGAATAAATACACACACAGAATAAAACAGCAATAACGAGGTGAATAAATACACACACAGAATAAAACAGCAATAACGAGGTGAATAAATACACACACAGAATAAAACAGCAATAACGAGGTGAATAAATACACACACAGAATAAAACAGCAATACGGTGGTGAATAAATACACACACAGAATAAAACAGCAATACGGTGGTGAATAAATACACACACAGAATAAAACAGCAATAACGAGGTGAATAAATACACATACAGAATAAAACAGCAATACGGTGGTGAATAAATACACATACAGAATAAGGTGGTGACACATACAGAATAAAACAGCAATAACGAGGTGAATAAATACACATACAGAATAAAACAGCAATACGAGAATAAAACACAGCAATAAAAATACACACAGAATAAAACAGGAATACGGTGGTGAATAAATACACACACAGAATAAAACAGCAATACGGTGGTGAATAAATACACATACAGAATAAAACAGCAATACGGTGGTGAATAAATACACACACAGAATAAAACAGCAATAACGAGGTGAATAAATACACACAGAGAATAAAACAGCAATACGGTGGTGAATAAATACACACACAGAATAAAACAGCAATAACGAGGTGAATAAATACACAAACAGAATAAAACAGCAATACGGTGGTGAATAAATACACACACAGAATAAAACAGCAATACGGTGGTGAATAAATACACATACAGAATAAAACAGGAATACGGTGGTGAATAAATACACACACAGAATAAAACAGCAATACGGTGGTGAATAAATACACACACAGAATAAAACAGCAATAACGAGGTGAATAAATACACACACAGAATAAAACAGCAATAACGAGGTGAATAAATACACACACAGAATAAAACAGCAATAACGAGGTGAATAAATACACATACAGAATAAAACAGCAATACGGTGGTGAATAAATACACATACAGAATAAAACAGGAATAACGAGGTGAATAAATACACATACAGAATAAAACAGCAATACGGTGGTGAATAAATACACATACAGAATAAAACAGCAATAACGAGGTGAATAAATACACACACAGAATAAAACAGCAATAACGAGGTGAATAAATACACACACAGAATAAAACAGCAATACGGTGGTGAATAAATACACACACAGAATAAAACAGCAATAACGAGGTGAATAAATACACATACAGAATAAATACACACACAGAATAAAACAGCAATACGGTGGTGAATAAATACACACACAGAATAAAACAGCAATAACGAGGTGAATAAATACACACACAGAATAAAACAGCAATAACGAGGTGAATAAATACACACACAGAATAAAACAGCAATACGGTGGTGAATAAATACACATACAGAATAAAACAGCAATACGGTGGTGAATAAATACACATACAGAATAAAACAGCAATACGGTGGTGAATAAATACACACACACAGAATAAAACAGCAATAAAAATAAATACACACACAGCAGCAATAACGAGGTGAATAAATACACACACAGAATAAAACAGCAATACGGTGGTGAATAAATACACACACAGAATAAAACAGCAATAACAGCACATAACAGCAATAACGGTGAATAAATACACACACAGAATAAAACAGCAATAACGAGGTGAATAAATACACACACAGAATAAAACGGCAATACGGTGGTGAATAAATACACACACAGAATAAAACAGCAATAACGAGGTGAATAAATACACATACAGAATAAAACAGCAATAACGAGGTGAATAAATACACATACAGAATAAAACAGCAATAACGAGGTGAATAAATACACACACAGAATAAAACAGCAATACGGTGGTGAATAAATACACACACAGAATAAAACAGGAATACGGTGGTGAATAAATACACACACAGAATAAAACAGCAATACGGTGGTGAATAAATACACACACAGAATAAAACAGCAATACGGTGGTGAATAAATACACACACAGAATAAAACAGCAATAACGAGGTGAATAAATACACACACAGAATAAAACAGCAATAACGAGGTGAATAAATACACACACAGAATAAAACAGCAATAACGAGGTGAATAAATACACACACAGAATAAAACAGCAATACGGTGGTGAATAAATACACATACAGAATAAAACAGCAATAACGAGGTGAATAAATACACACAGAATAAAACAGCAATAATGAGGTGAATAAATACACACACAGAATAAAACAGCAATACGGTGGTGAATAAATACACATACAGAATAAAACAGCAATAACGAGGTGAATAAATACACATACAGAATAAAACAGGAATACGGTGGTGAATAAATACACATACAGAATAAAACAGGAATACGGTGGTGAATAAATACACATACAGAATAAAACAGCAATAACGAGGTGAATAAATACACACACAGAATAAAACAGCAATAACGAGGTGAATAAATACACATACAGAATAAAACAGCAATACGGTGGTGAATAAATACACATACAGAATAAAACAGCAATACGGTGGTGAATAAATACACACACAGAATAAAACAGCAATACGGTGGTGAATAAATACACACAGAATAAAACAGCAATAACGAGGTGAATAAATACACACACAGAATAAAACAGCAATACGGTGGTGAATAAATACAGAGTAAAATAAGACAGAAGGAGACTTGATTTGGATCGTTGACCTCCAAAATCTAATCAGGTGTAGAACTTTATAGGGTGATGCTGCACTTTTATATAATATTTCATTCTATGTTAGTAATATAACTGATATGTATAATGAATATGTATGAGAAAATCAATTCTTACATACACCTACAACTATAGGAATAATTAAGTCAGGTACATTTATATAGATAAAAGGTGATTTTACAATACAAGGTGACACCAACCTGGTCTTGGATGGTATAGGCATCTCCCATCACTATGGCAACCTCCACATCACACATACTCTGGATGATAGACTGTAACAAAGACATTATGGTGGCATAATTTACTAAACTTTCACTCAAATGTACCTGTCAAAATGTATGGATCTCAGCATTAAATAACTGTTAAGTTGTTAATGAGGTATTCCAGCAGCAGCATTCATACAATTCCAGGGCCTGTATGTGAGATGGAAGGCACAATTTATTCCTGGGCCTGTATGTGAAATGGAAGGCACAATTTATTCCTGGGCCTGTATGTGAGATGGAAGGCACAATTTATTCCTGGGCCTGTATGTGAAATGGAAGGCACAATTTATTCCTGGGCCTATATGTGAGATGGAAGGCACAATTTATTCCTGGGCCTGTATGTGAGAAGGAATATTACTTACCACAATACATTCTTGTGCCTGTATGTGCGGAACGCGGTCACAGACTGTGTTAAGGATCTGTAAGAGCTGTGGGAACAATTCCACATACTTCTCTTCCCCAGCTGGTCTGTAATTACCATACAGCATGATTCAATTCTTAAATTTGTTTAATTGTTCTCCAACATTCTCACCCTAATTTGTTAGTAAGCTGTACAAACTATGTTAATTGTACTTCAACCTTCTCACCCTAATTTGTTAGTAAGCTGTACAAACTATGTTAATTGTACTTCAACCTTCTCACCTTAATTTGTTAGTAAGCTGTACAAACTATGTTAATTGTACTTCAACCTTCTCACCCTAATTTGTTAGTAAGCTGTACAAACTATGTTAATTGTACTTCAACCTTCTCACCTTAATTTGTTAGTAAGCTGTACAAACTATGTTAATTGTACTTCAACCTTCTCACCCTAATTTGTTAGTAAGCTGTACAAACTATGTTAATTGTACTTCAACCTTCTCACCCTAATTTGTTAGTAAGCTGTACAAACTATGTTAATTGTACACCAACCTTCTCACCCTAATTTGTTAGTAAGCTGTACAAACTATTTTAATTGTACTTCAACCTTCTCACCCTAATTTGTTAGTAAGCCGTACAAACTATGTTAATTGTACTTCAACCTTCTCACCTTAATTTGTTAGTAAGCTGTACAAACTATGTTAATTGTACTTCAACCTTCTCACCCTAATTTGTTAGTAAGCTGTACAAACTATGTTAATTGTACTTCAACCTTCTCACCTTAATTTGTTAGTAAGCTGTACAAACTATGTTAATTGTACTTCAACCTTCTCACCCTAATTTGTTAGTAAGCTGTACAAACTATGTTAATTGTACTTCAACCTTCTCACCCTAATTTGTTAGTAAGCTGTACAAACTATGTTAATTGTACTTCAACCTTCTCACCTTAATTTGTTAGTAAGCTGTACAAACTATGTTAATTGTACTTCAACCTTCTCACCCTAATTTGTTAGTAAGCTGTACAAACTATGTTAATTGTACTTCAACCTTCTCACCCTAATTTGTTAGTAAGCTGTACAAACTATGTTAATTGTACTTCAACCTTCTCACCCTAATTTGTTAGTAAGCTGTACAAACTATGTTAATTGTACTTCAACCTTCTCACCCTAACTTGTTAGTAAGCTGTACAAACTATGTTAATTGTACTCCAACCTTCTCACCCTAATTTGTTAGTAAGCTGTACAAACTATGTTAATTGTACACCAACCTTCTCACCCTAATTTGTTAGTAAGCTGTACAAACTATGTTAATTGTACTTCAACCTTCTCACCCTAATTTGTTAGTAAGCTGTACAAACTATGTTAATTGTACACCAACCTTCTCACCCTAATTTGTTAGTAAGCTGTACAAACTATGTTAATTGTACTTCAACCTTCTCACCTTAATTTGTTAGTAAGCCGTACAAACTATGTAACTAAATTATAGCTTTGTACTCAGATCTGTCAGCTGTACAAAATCTCTTACAGAATTGACCCTGAATTTAGAATATCGTATTTTCCAGACTATAAGCCGCAACTTTCTTCATCTTAAGTCGGGCGAGCAGCTTATATACCTGTTCAGCTTATATGTGGACAAAAAAAAATTCTACAAATGAAATAAAAAAAAATTGATGCATACCTAAACGGACAGTACAGAGTTTTTGATGAGTACCTGCCCATCATGTGTTTGTGACAGATCGTCTAGAAATGTAATATACATGGACGATTGAAGATTGAAATAAAAGTAAGACTATTGTGGAGTTAATTAATCATATTAAAAAACACTATACATTGCTTTAACTTTTGAGGTTACTTTAAAGTGGAAGTTTACAATAGCCTTTTGTATCCTGAGACAGATATGGTCATCGGGTTGTAGGTCAAATTCTAGAATGACCACCGTGCTTGTTTATGAAATGAATGGCTTCTTGTAACTTACAAGAAGAAATAATATGGGACTATAAGAATTTTTTCAGCACCTAAGGGCCTTTGTTCATGTTGAACATTAAAGACACCAATGGAGAGATTGTTAAGTAAACAGTAGGTAATGTCTGGCCCTATATCTAGGCATAGACAATCTTTGAAAGGTCCCAATCTAAACAAAGTTGATATTTGCTATTTTATGTTTTTTGAAATACATTAATAAAATAAAGGATTATTATTATTTATTATTCATTTTCAACCTTTATTAAAATTTTCACTGACAATCAAATTGCCCTCCGTTGTCTGTTATATCAATGAACTTTGGTCAACAAAGTGGTCACCACATCATAAGAAAGGTACCTGGTGTGGTTTATATTCTAGTGTGACTAATATGTGTATCAAACTGAAATAATTATTAAAAATTGACCCTGCAACTTAAACACTGGTGCGGATTATAACCCGGAAAATATGATAAGCTTTTACCCCGATTTGCTAACGAGCTGAAGAAAAGGTCTCTATTAATGTTCATTTATCTTGACTTGTAAGTGAACTTTACAAAATATCTGACTGAGAACTTACCCAGATTTGTTAGTGAGCTGTAAAGTGGCACATTTAATGGAAGGTTGTGAGAGGACATAGGCGAGGAGGTTCAACATCTTGCTGGCGTATGGTGAAGCGATCCTTTCTTCGAGCTCCTCTACTGCCTCACCATCTCCCTTGTCCTCTAACCGAGTTACCTTCATCGTCTGGAAACTCTCTATCACAATGTCCAGCACACACCTAAACGGGAGGTAATTACACAGAAAATTCTAGCTACAAGGTATCAATGAAAAAATCATGATAAACATTTCAATATCTTGTCTTTAAGTAAAAATGTTTTCTTGGATATCAATGTCAACTGATGGTTAAGTTGCAGTAATTGTGACTTAAAAGGCCAAGACACCTTAGCAATAGGTGTAGGTGTTAAATATTACTTTTACTAGTGTGCTGAGTTTATTCTCTCATCAACAGCCAATGTCATTTTCGGGCAGAATCTCCTTGCTAGCTACCTCTCTGAACAACATACAGGAGGCCCATTACATGTGATCCAGATTAACTGGGGTGAGGTGTCTTGCCAAAGGACACACCCACTACAGCAATGAAACCCTGAGGTTGCTAAGTCAAAGGTTCTACAATACGAACTATTGCAGCACCTCTCTGACTTATGTCAGGTAATTATAAACTTTTTATATACAATCTCATCAGTTTGTCCTATATTTGTCAGTGATGATAAATAAAATGTATTTTTATGTCGGTCATGAGGTGAATTAATACAAGAATTTCAACCTTTAATCTGGTAGCTTTGGGGTCATTGTATTCATTTTGGGGAAATGTTTATCTGATGAACATGAGGTGTGGGAGAAATGTTTATCTGATGCACATGAGGTGTGGGAGAAATGTTTATCTGATGAACATGAGGTGTGGGAGAAATGTTTATCTGATGCACATGAGGTGTGGGAGAAATGTTTATCTGATGAACATGAGGTGTGGGAGAAATGTTTATCTGATGCACATGAGGTGTGGGAGAAATGTTTATCTGATGAACATGAGGTGTGGGAGAAATGTTTATCTGATGCACATGAGGTGTGGGAGAAATGTTTATCTGATGAACATGAGGTGTGGGAGAAATGTTTGTCTGATGGACATGAGGTGTGGGAGAAATGTTTATCTGATGCACATGAGGTGTGGGAGAAATGTTTATCTGATGAACATGAGGTGTGGGAGAAATGTTTATCTGATGCACATGAGGTGTGGGAGAAATGTTTATCTGATGGACATGAGGTGTGGGAGAAATGTTTATCTGATGGACATGAGGTGTGGGAGAAATGTTTATCTGATGGACATGAGGTGTGGGAGAAATGTTTATCTGATGGATATGAGGTGTGGGAGAAATGTTTATCTGATGGATATGAGGTGTGGGAGAAATGTTTATCTGATGGATATGAGGTGTGGGAGAAATGTTTATCTGATGAATATGAGATGTGGGGAAATGTTTATCTGATGAACATGAGGTGTTTAGAAATGTTTATCTGATGAACACGATGAGGAGTGGGAGAAATGTTTATCTGATGGACATGAGGTGTTTAGAAATGTTTATCTGATGAACATGAGGTGTTTAGAAATGTTTATCTGATGAACATGAGGTGTTTAGAAATGTTTATCTTATGGACATGAGGTGTTTAGAAATGTTTATCTGATGAACATGAGGTGTGGGAGAAATGTTTATCTGATGGATATGAGGTGTGGGAGAAATGTTTATCTGATGAATATTAGGTGTGGGAGAAATGTTTATCTGATGGACATGAGGTGTTTAGAAATGTTTATCTGATGAACATGAGGTGTGGGAGAAATGTTTATCTGATGAACATGAGGTGTTTAGAAATGTTTATCTGATGAACATGAGGTTTTTAGAAATGTTTATCTGATGGACATGAGGTGTTTAGAAATGTTTATCTGATGAACATGAGGTTTTTAGAAATGTTTATCTGATGGACATGAGGTGTTTAGAAATGTTTATCTGATGAATATGAGGTGTTTAGAAATGTTTATCTGATGAACATGAGGTGTTTAGAAATGTTTATCTGATGAACATGAGGTGTTTAGAAATGTTTATCTGATGGACATGAGGTGTTTAGAAATGTTTATCTGATGAACACGATGAGGAGTGGGAGAAATGTTTATCTGATGAACATGAGGTGTTTAGAAATGTTTATCTGATGAACATGAGGTGTGGGAGAAATGTTTATCTGATGAACATGAGGTGTTTAGAAATGTTTATCTGATGAACATGAGGTGTTTAGAAATGTTTATCTGATGAACATGAGGTGTTTAGAAATGTTTATGAACATGAGGTGTGGGTGGGAGAAATGTTTATCTGATGAACATGAGGTGTTTAGAAATGTTTATCTGATGGACATGAGGTGTTTAGAAATGTTTATCTGATGGACACGATGAGGAATGGGAGAAATGTTTATCTTATGGACATGAGGTGTTTAGAAATGTTTATCTGATGAACATGAGGTGTGGGAGAAATGTTTATCTGATGAACATGAGGTGTTTAGAAATGTTTATCTGATGAACATGAGGTGTTTAGAAATGTTTATCTGATGGACATGAGGTGTTTAGAAATGTTTATCTGATGAACACGATGAGGAGTGGGAGAAATGTTTATCTGATGAACATGAGGTGTTTAGAAATGTTTATCTGATGGACATGAGGTGTTTAGAAATGTTTATCTGATGGACACGATGAGGGGAGAAATTTAGGATGGACATGGGAGAAATGTTTATCGGAGTGGGAGAAATGTTTATCTGATGGACATGAGGTGTTTAGAAATGTTTATCTGATGAACATGAGGTGTTTAGAAATGTTTATCTTATGGACATGAGGTGTTTAGAAATGTTTATCTGATGGACATGAGGTGTGGGAGAAATGTTTATCTGATGAACATGAGGTGTTTAGAAATGTTTATCTGATGGACATGAGGTGTTTAGAAATGTTTATCTGATGAACATGAGGTGTTTAGAAATGTTTATCTGATGGACATGAGGTGTTTAGAAATGTTTATCTGATGAACATGAGGTGTTTAGAAATGTTTATCTGATGGACATGAGGTGTTTAGAAATGTTTATCTGATGAACACGATGAGAAATGTTTATCTGATGGGAGGTGTTTAGAAATGTTTATCTGATGAACATAAGGTGTTTAGAAATGTTTATCTGATGGACATGAGGTGTTTAGAAATGTTTATCTGATGAACATGAGGTTTGGAAGAAATGTCTATCTGATGAACATGAAGTGGGGAGGGGGAGTGTTTGTCTTGTGAACATCAAGTAGCAAGGGATGTTAACTTGGTGATTAGGAGGTGTTGGGAAATGAGAACATGTGAACATAGAGGTGTAACAATGTTTTTTTTATGGTGACAAAGAGGGGTGGAGAAATTTTTATCAGGAGACTTTTAAATCAATATGTTTATCTAAAGACCAAGATTTGTTTACCTAAGGACCAAGATCTGTTTACCTAAGGACCAAGATCTGTTCACCTAAGGACAAAGATCTGTTCACCTAAGGACCAAGATCTGTTAATCTAAGGACCAAGATCTGTTAATCTAAGGACCAAGGTCTGTTTACCTAAGAACCAAGATCTGTTCACCTAAGGAACAAGATTTGTTGACATTAGGACCTAGATCTATTTACCTAAGGACCAAGATCTGTTTACCTAAGAACCAAGATCTGTTCACCTAAGGAACAAGATTTGTTGACATTAGGACCTAGATCTATTTACCTAAGGACCAAGGTCTGTTTACCTAAGAACCAAGATCTGTTCACCTAAGGAACAAAATTTGTTGACATTAGGACCTAGATCTATTTACCTAAGGACCAAGATCTGTTTACCTAAGAACCAAGATCTGTTCACCTTAGGACCAAGATTTGTTACCTAAGGACCAAGATTTGTTCACCTATGGACCAAGATCTGTTTACCTAAGGACCAAGATTTGTTTACCTAAGGACCAAGATTTGTTCACCTAAGGACCAAGATCTGTTCACCTAAGGACCAAGATCTGTTTACCTAAGGACCAAGATCTGTTTACCTAAGGACCAAGATCTGTTCACCTAAGGACCAAGATCTGTTTACCTAAGGACCAAGATCTGTTCACCTAAGGACCAAGATCTGTTTATCTAAGGACCAAGATCTGTTCACCTAAGGACCAAGATTTGTTCACCTAAGGACCAAGATCTGTTTACATAAGGACCAAGATTTGTTTACTTTAGGACCAAGATCTGTTTACATAAGGACCAAGATTTGTTTACATTAGGACCAAGATTTGTTTACCTAAGGACCAAGATCTGTTTACATAAGGACCAAGATTTGTTTACTTTAGGACCAAGATCTGTTTACCTAGTGATCAAGATCTGTTCACCTAAGGACCAAGATCTGTTCACTTAAGGACCAAGATCTGTTTACCTAAGGACCAAGATCTGTTAACCTAAGGACTAAGATTTGTTAACCTTAGGACCAAGAACACAGCAACTTTACCTTGTGACCACAAGAGCAATGTGTGCTGACAAATCTGACAGTTGCCAACAGACACGACGTAGGACATGCTGAAGGGGTTGACAAGTGGAGGTGGACAGTAGCTGGATTACTTCCTGCAGTTGAGGCGTCGCTGCATACAGGTGCATGCTCCATAACTTACGCACATTAATGGCTTGTGAGGACTCTGCTGCACTCAGCGGCTGAAAAAGTAAAAAACTTATATTGCTGATTGTCATGAAATACAGAACCACTAGTGACTTTACAAATCCAATTCGACAAAATGATGTAAAGATCTCATAGTCTGACAATGTATATGTCACTATAATGTTATCCTCTTTCTCTTATGCTTCTGGGGACAGTTATTACTATTTCTCTCTAGTGTTAAAGAGGTTTATTATCACTATTTATACACGAGAAAACCTTACAAGCTATTTAGTATAGGATATTTCTTCTTCATCCAATGGTGTCCTAATGTGATTTTCTTTCTCTTCTGACAATACCCTAGTGTGATATTTAGCATCAAGTGATATCATATTTAAAGGGGTTCATATTCAAAGGGAGATTATCTTACTGAATATAAGTATGTGGAGGTTTATCTTACTGAATAGAAGAAGGTGGAGGTTTATCTTACTGAATAGAAGTATGTGGAGGTTTATCTTACTGAATAGAAGTATGTGGAGGTTTATCTTACTGAATAGAAGTATGTGGAGGTTTATCTTACTGAATAGAAGAATGTGGAGGTTTATCTTACTGAATAGAAGAATGTGGAGGTTTATCTTACTGAATAGAAGTATGTGGAGGTTTATCTTACTGAATAGAAGAATGTGGAGGTTTATCTTACTGAATAGAAGAATGTGGAGGTTTATCTTACTGAATAGAAGAATGTGGAGGTTTATCTTACTGAATAGAAGAAGGTGGAGGTTTATCTTACGGAATAGAAGAATGTGGAGGTTTATCTTACTGAATAGAAGTATGTGGAGGTTTATCTTACTGAATAGAAGTATGTGGAGGTTTATCTTACTGAATAGAAGAATGTGGAGGTTTATCTTACTGAATAGTGGAGGTTTATCTTACTGAATAGGTGGGTTTAGGTTTAAGAATAATGTGGAGGTTTATCTTACTGAATAGAAGTATGTGGAGGTTTATCTTACTGAATAGAAGAATGTGGAGGTTTATCTTACTGAATAGAAGTATGTGGAGGTTTATCTTACTGAATAGAAGAATGTGGAGGTTTATCTTACTGAATAGAAGTATGTGGAGGTTTATCTTACTGAATAGAAGTATGTGGAGGTTTATCTTACAGAATAGAAGTATGTGGAGGTTTATCTTACTGAATAGAAGTATGTGGAGGTTTATCTTACTGAATAGAAGTATGTGGAGGTTTATCTTACTGAATAGAAGTATGTGGAGATTTATCTTACTGAATAGAAGTATGTGGAGGTTTATCTTACTGAATAGGAGGTTTATCTTACTGAATAGAAGTATGTGGAGGTTTATCTTACTGAATAGAAGTAAGTGTGGAGGTTTATCTTACTGAATAGAAGTATGTGGAGGTTTATCTTACTGAATAGAAGTATGTGGAGGTTTATCTTACTGAATAGAAGTATGTGGAGGTTTATCTTACTGAATAGAAGTATGTGGAGGTTTATCTTACTGAATAGAAGTATGTGGAGGTTTATCTTACTGAATAGAAGTATGTGGAGGTTTATATTACGGACTAGAAGTATGTGGAGGTTTATCTGAATAGAAGTATGTGGAGGTTTATCTTACTGAATATGTGGAGGTTTATCTTACTGAATAGAAGTAGGTTTGGAGGTTTATCTTACTGAATAGAAGTATGTGGAGGTTTATCTTACTGAATAGAAGTATGTGGAGGTTTATCTTACTGAATAGAAGTATGTGGAGGTTTATCTTACTGAATAGAAGAATGTGGAGGTTTATCTTACGGAATAGAAGTATGTGGAGGTTTATCTTACTGAATAGAAGTATGTGGAGGTTTATCTTACAGAATAGAAGTATAGAAGTATGTGGAGGTTTATCTTACTGAATAGAAGTATGTGGAGGTTTATCTTACTGAATAGTGGAGGTTTATCTTACTGAATAGAAGTATGTGGAGGTTTATCTTACTGAATAGAAGAATGTGGAGGTTTATCTTACTGAATAGAAGTATGTGGAGGTTTATCTTACTGAATAGTGGAGGTTTATCTTACTGAATAGAAGTATGTGGAGGTTTATCTTACTGAATAGAAGTATGTGGAGGTTTATCTTACTGAATAGAAGTATGTGGAGGTTTATCTTACTGAATAGAAGTATGAATAGAAGTATGTGGAGGTTTATCTTACTGAATAGAAGTATGTGGAGGTTTATCTTACTGAATAGAAGTAGGTTTATCTTACTGAATAGTATGTGGAGGTTTATCTTACTGAATAGAAGTATGTGGAGGTTTATCTTACTGAATAGAAGTATGTGGAGGTTTATCTTACTGAATAGAAGTGGAGGTTTATCATAGTGGAGGTTTATCTTACTGAATAGAAGTATGTGGAGGTTTATCTTACGGAATAGAAGTATGTGGAGGTTTATCTTACTGAATAGAAGTATGTGGAGGTTTATCTTACTGAATAGTGGAGGTTTATCTTACTGAATAGAAGTATGTGGAGGTTTATCTTAATGAATAGAAGTATGTATGTGGAGGTTTATCTTACTGAATAGAAGTATGTGGAGGTTTATCTTACTGAATAGAAGTATGTGGAGGTTTATCTTACTGAATAGAAGTATGTGGAGGTTTATCTTACTGAATAGAAGTATGTGGAGGTTTATCTTACTGAATAGAAGTATGTGGAGGTTTATCTTACTGAATAGAAGTATGTGGAGGTTTATCTTACTGAATAGAAGTATGTGGAGGTTTATCTTACGGAATAGAAGAATGTGGAGGTTTATCTTACTGAATAGAAGTATGTGGAGGTTTATCTTACTGAATAGAAGTATGAATAGAAGTATGTGGAGGTTTATCTTACTGAATAGAAGGTTTATCTTACTGAATAGAAGTGGAGGTTTATCTTACTGAATAGAAGTATGTGGAGGTTTATCTTACTGAATAGAAGTATGTGGAGGTTTATCTTAAATGAATAGAAGTATGGAGGTTTATCTTACTGAATAGAAGTATGTGGAGGTTTATCTTACTGAATAGAAGTATGTGGAGGTTTATCTTACTGAATAGAAGTATGTGGAGGTTTATCTTATCTAGAAGTAGGTTTATCTGAATAGAAGTATGTGGAGGTTTATCTTACTAGAAGAATAGGTTTATCTTACTGAATAGTATGTGGAGGTTTATCTTACTGAATAGAAGAATGTGGAGGTTTATCTTACTGAATAGAAGTATGTGGAGGTTTATCTTACTGAATAGAAGTATGTGGAGGTTTATCTTACTGAATAGAAGTATGTGGAGGTTTATCTTACTGAATAGAAGTATGTGGAGGTTTATCTTACTGAATAGAAGTATGTGGAGGTTTATCTTACTGAATAGTGGAGGTTTATCTTAATGAATATGTGGAGGTTTATCTTACTGAATAGAAGATGTGGAGGTTTATCTTACTTACTATGAATAATAGAAGTATGTGGAGGTTTATCTTACTGAATAGAAGTATGTGGAGGTTTATCTTACTGAATAGTGGAGGTTTATCTTACTGAATAGAAGTATGTGGAGGTTTATCTTACTGAATAGTGGAGGTTTATCTTACTGAATAGAAGTATGTGGAGGTTTATCTTACTGAATAGAAGTATGTGGAGGTTTATCTTACTGAATAGAAGAATGTGCAGGTTGGTCTTACTGAATAGAAGAATGTGGAGGTTTATCTTACTGAATAGAAGTATCTGGAGCTACTGATATTTTCATAACATGGCTATCAAAATCCATTAGAAAATGAAAGTGGAAGAGAGAAGTCACTAAATTGGTTGATTTAGTTTTAGTGATCTTGACCTTGTGATGCTATAATATTTGTTCATTTTAAGTATTGTCATAGTTCTCCATTGTATGATGTTTCAGTAAAATTCCCAAAAACCTGAAGTTTTAAAAGCGATGAGATATATTCAGGTCAAGCTAGGACACAACATAATAACAAAGGATGATAATAGATGACACTACATACTTCTTCAAATAACAACTTATGCCACAAAATGATTGAATAAAAACAAAATAGAAAAATTACCTCCTTTGTCTGAAGAGGGAGGGGTAAGGGCAATAACTCTGACAGCATAAGTAGGCCACTGAGGTAGGTGTATGGTGCTTTGACTATGTATTTCAGAAGTTCCTTGATCACTTTGGTCCATAGACTTTGGCTCAGAGCTACAATGAAACAAGCAAATCACTAGTCTATGGCATATACATCTCTAATTATTAAAACTTATCGTTTATTAGCAAATGATTATAATGTAGGGAAAAACAGGAATGAAATACAACCTGTATGGCTTTTAATAAGAAATTTATTTCATATAAAAATAATTTGCATAACAATCTCAATTAAAATATAACATTTGTTTTTATCATTATTGCAAAACAAGCCATCAGCTTATATGTATCAATCTTTTGTTTGTCTCAATTGATGGGCCACTGTATTCTTATTTCAGAATGAAACCGTCGTACCTGGGAAAAACCCACTTGGTCAGCAAGTTGACACAATAATTTGTCACATCCAATTTGGTTTTGAAACCCTGGTTGCCTGAGTGAAACTCAAATGGATTACCACTCTACCACCACACCACCCTTAATCATAATTAAGATACAAAACGATCTATATCTCTACCTGTTTAGTTCACTACTAAACTTGTATATCTACCTTCTTCACTGTCAGCCTGATGTATGATAGGCTGTGTGTATGCCATGAGAGTATCTATCACTTCTTTTTGAATCTGTGCAAACAAAAACACAAAAAGTAATGCCATACAACTACATCCATTTTCAAAGTAGTATAGAATTCATTTACCTGTATGAACATATGGACAAATGAAATTTCTGTATCTGGACAGTAGTAATTACTTTAAGAAGAACAAAATTAATGTAGACCAGCTTTAATTTATTAAAAACACTGAACGACGCAAGTCAATCTGAGATTCCCTTTCTGAAATTGATAGACCTTTAAGTCAATAGTGAAGAAACTTACCACATGTATCTCCTCCAAGAACATGGATGACAGGGGAACAGAGCAGACCACAGTGTGAAGCTCGAACAGCACTGGTAGACATGTCAGGTCACAGAACTGTAACATTTACATCTCCTGTATACTTTGTATTCCTCATCATCACACAAAGTAACACTCCTGTAACTACTAAATCCATTAACCTTGAAAGTAAATACTGACAGATCATGAAAGACCTTGTTTTTTTCTGACATGATAATATGTATCATTTCCCTAGAAATCTGCATTTTCCTACCTTAATTAACACTTCCTTACTTGACGTCTTTGTAATACCCCTAATGAACATCAAAATGGACCAGTCCACCCCTATGACATTTTCAGCCTTAATTAACACTTCCCTTACCTGTGGTCTTTGTTATACCCCTAATGAACATCAAAGTGAATCAGTCCACCCCTATGACATTCCCACCCTTAATTAGCACGTCCCTTACCTGAGGACTTTGTTATACCCCTAATGAACATCAAAATGGACCAGTCCACCCCTATGACATTCCCACCCTTAATTAAGACTTCCCTTACCTGAGATCTTTGTTATACCCCTAGTGAACATCAAAGTGAATCAGTCCACCCCTATGACATTCCTACCCTTAATTAACACGTCCCTTACCTGAGGACTTTGTTATACCCCTAATGAACATCAAAGTGAATCAGTCCACCCCTATGACATTCCCACCCTTAATTAACACATCCCTTACCTGAGTACTTTGTTATACCCCTAATGAACCTCAAAGTGAATCAATCCACTAATATTTGAACAATATTATTATCAAGAATTAATTTTTTTTATTTAAATGATTGCTGAAAATGAATACATCAGAGACAACTGCTGGTATCCAAAACAGATTTCATACAGTTGAACAAAATATTTTAGAAAATGAACTAAAGTAGATAATGTAACATTTATTTGATATGTCAGGTTTAAGTTGGCTATCTTACGAAGTGTACCTGTGATAACTGGAATGCCTCTATGAGAGGAAAAGACAGATTAATCATTTTAAGTGTGTAATCACAGGTACAAGTCACTTGTCTTCTGTACAATTTGGTGTCTACAGTCACCACAATCAGTCTATAGGATTCTCTTAAGACAAATTTCAAAATAAATCGACTAACTGTCCAATGTAAAAATTCCTTCTACGTCAGGGTAAATAATCTATAACTACAGATTTAAGGCTGAATCAAATTCATGATATATTTGGAATGCATGTATAACATGCACTAGACAGGTGCACAAATAGGACTCAGGGAGATAAGGATATTAAAACTCCATCTACAACCTGTCAGTACCCTGGTCTTTCATATCATAACAACTGTTTTGTTTTGTGTTATGCATATTTTCAACAGCAATGGTGAACTTAGAAATTCTGTCTACCTTTACTGCTGCACGTCTTGTTTAATGTGTATTAAGTGGATATTTCTGAGATAAGTCAGACACATTTATACTAAGAAAAAGGTTACTTATCAGCATCCATCGAGCAGGATTTACAACTTCAAAAAATACACTGATCTTCTATCAGATCAACATGCAGTTATAAAATGGGCGCTCCTTCTTTCAGAAGACATAACTACAGTTAACATATTTGTTTTAATGGATATCACCGTTGCTGAAATTTGCATGTCGTTAGATGTAACAAGGTTACTAAGCCTAGTTAATAACCATGGCAACTGGACACAGGTCATCTGGTCAGCGAGAACAACTACCTGTAAGGATCAAAGGCAGTTCAAATTGTCCACACCACAAACAAAAGGAGATCATTTTTATTTGTAATGATTGTGATGAAGAACTTATTTGTGCCACATGCTGCGTTACATCCCACAAATCTCATGAACTTGTGGAACTCTCTAGTGTGAGAAGTCAGAAAAACAGTATGCTACAAGAATTCATTAATAACACAGAAAAACATGCTCTACCTCAATTGAAAATGGAGGTCCAAGCAACCCAAAAGGAAATGACAGAAAACAGCCTTCACTTCTGTGGGCTTCGTTCCAAAGTGACAGACAAGGGGAAAAGGTGTAAACAAGAAATTGATGACTTGATCACAGAAAATATCAAAATTTGTGACAAGATTGAAATTCTGAACCAGAATTTGCTCAAAGACCATATCACTCAACTGCTGAACCAGATATCCTCTCTGGAGAGTCTTCTGAATGAATGTAAACAAACACTTCAGATGGGAACAGCTGTTCTTGTACATGACATGGTATTGGATGTCCAAAATCTGGATTCCAAGATCCCGAGTTTGCCTAAACAACAATGGCCAGAATTTCATTCATGTCAAGACACACTCGACAAGTTGAAACAAGTTGTTGGCACTATTTCTATAAATCAACCCCCAAAGGAAAAATTTATAAAAATCAAACTGCGAAGGGAACCAGAAGTACAATTACGATTTAAATTTCGACATCACATCACTACAATCTGCCCCACACAGAACAGTCAAGCCTGGATCTGTCATTTTGAAAGCAACTCACTAGAGCTTATTGACATCAAAGGACAGATACAAAAGGTAATCAAATGCCAACATCAAATCCGAGACATCAACATATCAACAAAAACAGGACACATTTGGTTTTGCTGTCGAGAAGAAAAAATAGTCTGTGAAGTGTCTTCATTGTCAAAAGCACCAGCCATCAAATTCAGAACAAATGACCCACCATACAGTATCTGTGTGACTAAAGAAGGTTTCGTTATATTGGGAACTGAAAACAAAGTAAGTATTTACACAGAAAATGGTGTAATACTACATTCCAGCACACGCCAGACCTCTGGGATTGCTTCACCAGGGGAGATAACCCAATGTCCCCTGACTGGCAACATTGCTGTACTGAGTGCAGAAGTTCTGAAAAGAGATGATTCAGATGAAGATGATTGGAAAGGACAAATCATCATCTACAACAAAAGGTTACAAGTGAAATCCCACTATACAGGAATTCAGTCCTTAGGAGTGGTGACAGAAAAAACCTTTCATCCACGATCTATAGCCTATGACAGAAATGGGAATCTGGTTGTGGCCGACATGAAAAGAAATACAATTGAACTTATAAGTGGATTAGGACAGCACATCAAAACCTTGTGTTGTAACACTCAGGGTCAGGGAGCGTTAGGACTCGAGGATGGCCAAGTACTCTGGACAACGTCTAAACCATCACCAGGAAAGTGGGAAATACAGGTCCTTAAATACTACTCTGTCTGAACCAGCCAGGAAAGTGGGAAACAGGTCCTTATATACTACTCTGTCTGAACCAGCCAGGAAAGTGGGAAATACAAGTCCTTATATACTACTCTGTCTGAACCAGCCAGGAAAGTGGAAAATACAGGTCCTTAAATACTACTCTGTCTGAACCAGCCAGGAAAGTGGGAAATACAGGTCCTTAAATACTACTCTGTCTGAACCAGCCAGGAAAGTGGGAAATACAGATCCTTAAATACTACTCTGTCTGAACCAGCCAGGAAAGTGGGAAACAGGTCCTTATATACTACTCTGTCTGAACCAGCCAGGAAAGTGGGAAATACAAGTCCTTATATACTACTCTGTCTGAACCAGCCAGGAAAGTGGGAAATACAGGTCCTTATATACTACTCTGTCTGAACCAGCCAGGAAAGTGGAAAATACAGGTCCTTAAATACTACTCTGTCTGAACCAGCCAGGAAAGTGGGAAATACAGGTCCTTAAATACTACTCTGTCTGAACCAGCCAGGAAAGTGGGAAATACAGGTCCTGATAATACTACTCTGTCTGAACCAGCCAGGAAAGTGGGAAATACAGGTCCTTATATACTACTCTGTCTGAACCAGCCAGGAAAGTGGGAAACACAGGTCCTTATATACTACTCTGTCTGAACCAGTCAGGAAAGTGGGAAATACAGGTCCTTATATACTACTCTGTCTGAACCAGCCAGGAAAGTGGGAAATACAGGTCCTTAAATACTACTCTGTCTGAACCAGCCAGGAAAGTGGAAAATACAAGTCCTTATATACTACTCTGTCTGAACCAGCCAGGAAAGTGGGAAATACAAGTCCTTATATACTACTCTGTCTGAACCAGCCAGGAAAGTGGGAAATACAGGTCCTTATATACTACTCTGTCTGAACCAGCCAGGAAAGTGGAAAATACAGGTCCTTAAATACTACTCTGCCTGAACCAGCCAGGAAAGTGGGAAATACAGGTCCTTATATACTACTCTGTCTGAACCAGCCAGGAAAGTGGGAAATACAGGTCCTTAAATACTACTCTGTCTGAACCAGCCAGGAAAGTGGGAAATACAGGTCCTTATATACTACTCTGTCTGAACCAGCCAGGAAAGTGGGAAATACAGGTCCTTAAATACTACTCTGTCTGAACCAGCCAGGAAAGTGGGAAATACAGGTCCTTAAATACTACTCTGTCTGAACCAGCCAGGAAAGTGGGAAATACAGGTCCTTAAATACTACTCTGTCTGAACCAGCCAGGAAAGTGGGAAATACAGGTCCTTATATACTACTCTGTCTGAACCAGCCAGGAAAGTGGGAAATACAGGTCCTTAAATACTACTCTGTCTGAACCAGCCAGGAAAGTGGGAAATACAGGTCCTTAAATACTACTCTGTCTGAACCAGCCAGGAAAGTGGGAAATACAGATCCTTAAATACTACTCTGTCTGAACCAGCCAGGAAAGTGGGAAATACAAGTCCTTATATACTACTCTGTCTGAACCAGCCAGGAAAGTGGGAAATACAGGTCCTTATATACTACTCTGTCTGAACCAGCCAGGAAAGTGGGAAATACAGGTCCTTAAATACTACTCTGTCTGAACCTGCCAGGAAAGTGGGAAATACAGGTCCTTATATACTTCTCTGTCTGAACCAGCCAGGACAGTGGGAAATACAGGTCCTTATATACTACTCTGTCTGAACCAGCCAGGAAAGTGGGAAATACAGGTCCTTAAATAGTACTCTGTCTGAACCAGCCGGGAAAGTGGGAAATACAGGTCCTTATATACTACTATGTCTGAACCAGCCAGGAAAGTGGGAAACAGATCCTTAAATAGTACTCTGTCTGAACCAGCCAGGAAAGTGGGAAATAC